TGCGTGTGTGTGTTTTTTCTTTTTTTTTTTTAAGGCAATTTGGGGTTAAGTGACTTGCCCAGGGTCACACAGCTAATACGTGTCAAGTGTTTGGTCTGAGGCTGGATTTATACTTGGCTTTTTTGATGGATTTGTGTTAGGCCAGACTCTGAGTGATTGTAGAGTTTATTTAAGAGGTTCTTCTTATGCATAGTGTCATCCACAAACCAGATCATCTGAAGGATCTCATCATCTCTACGAAATGTGTGCCTAAATAGACTTTGTACAGATGTAATTAGTGACAGTGTTACACACTTTTGTCAAGGATATGTCTACTTGTTTTCTTCCTCACTCTATATGTTTAGAAAGGAGAACCATCAAACATTTACTTTTGTTTCACTTTTCAAGGACTTTTGTGAGATTTCACCATGTGTAGGGATCACACCTTTTTGGAGGAGAGGCTTTAAGGAAGTACTTTATAGAATTATGTTTTTTGTAGTCAACAAACAATAAGCACAATAGACTCTCTTATTAACATCTTTTAGTCAGTTGTGTAAGTGTAGAAATGTAGTCTGCTTAGTGAAAGTCTACCTTTTCAGGGGCAGCTAGGTGGGATAGATCACTGGCCCTGGAGTCAGGAGGATCTGAGTTCAAATGTGACCTCAGACACATAATAGTCACTAGCTGTGTGACTCTGGGCAAGTCACTTAACCCCAATTTCCTCACCAAAAAAAAAAAAAGAAAAGAAAAGAAAAAAGGAAAGTCTGCCTTTCCTCAAGGAGGACCTTAATGCATGTGTAGATGATTCTTACAGACACTTTCTGGAGATAAGAAATTATGCATATGGCTTGCAGTAATATAGCAGTGAGGTCTGAGATTTTTTCCATAAATTTTTTTAAAGATGTTCTGCTATCTTCAAGATAATTTGAAAACCAATTCTTCAACAAGCTAAAATTTATTGACTTAAGAAAGTACTTTTGTGTGTACATCATCTAGTCTACAGGTTCTTAAGTGTTTTTGTGTCATGGACCTTATTTGTCAGTTTGGAGACTGTGGACCTCTTCTCAAAATAATTTGTTTAAATGCATAAAATAAAATACATAGAATTACAAAGGGAACCGATTATATTGAAATAGTTATCAAAATATTAAAACAAATTTGTGAATCGAAGATTAAGAACTTCTGGTTTAGTCTGATTAGTTTTCCCATCTTTTTCTTCTACTTCTTTCTCATCTATTACAGTATGGATGTTAAGAGACCAAATGTGGTGGTTTCATTGTCATTGATGGTAAAAAAGAGTTAGCTATTAAAACATTCACGGGTGTGTGTGTGTGTGTGTGTACATGTACACTGGTATATATATGTATTCTCTTTGTAGTTTCATCTTTAAATTCCCTTGAGATGACTTATTTGCATTTTCCATCAAGGTTTCTTAAAGCTTGTTTTTCTCTCAACTTCCTCTTTTTCTTGAATAGGAGGGATTTTAGTTGAGATTTCAAGGAAGCCAAGAGGCAGAGATGAGGATGGACTGGATACCAAGCATAGGGGATAGTGAGTGAGATGTCTTGTGTGAGTAATAAGTAGCCCAGTGTCAATTGATCATCTAGTAAGTACATGGGGATGGTGCCAATGGAGTGTGATGTTAGAAGATTGAAAGGTAGGAAGGGTCCAGGTTATGAAGGCCTTTAAAAACCAAATATTTGATCCTGGAAGGAATAGAGAGAAACTGGAGTTTATTAAACAGAGACATGATTGATATGATCTGTGGTATTTTCAAGTTGAAGTTCATTATTTTATCACAATTTGTTCAACCTTCATTAAATGCCTCATTGTGGCATGCAGGCAACTGTTCCCAAAACAATACCAGTGAAACTGAAACTTTGTCAGGTTCTCTAGCATTCTGGAAAAGGTGTCATATATAGGCTTGTTGTCTGCAGGTCTAAGATTAAGGCCCATGTCTCTGGCCTTGCTTCAACCTAGGCCAGGTTTTATAATTTAGTTATCCATCAGGTTAGATGCCTTGGGCTACAGAGCAATTTGCCTATCAGTTTGCATGTCACTTGAGGTTTGGCCACCAGGACATTTTTTTGGTCACAAGAACTCCTTAAACTGTTTATAAGGCAGTGGGGCTGTGATCTTCCTTGATTGAAGGTATATGCTCTCAGTACTAAAATCACTGATCCTTGAAATATTTAAGTAATTGATATGCTATGTGCACGATAGGACCATTTGTTACAAATTGGCTTAAATTTGTTTGCTCAACCATATCATTATTCAGATGATCATCATCAGCACTGTCTTCAACTTCATAGGACAATTTAACATGTTTGAAGTTTAAAGAACTTAAACTAGTGGACACTTGAGAACTTAAACATCAAAATGAGTGTTTCCCTTTCAATGTAGTCACCATTTATTTTTTTTCTGACTTAATTTATTTTGATTTATCAACAATCACTTCCATAAGTGTTTTGAGTTTTAAATTTTTCTCCCCCTCCCTTTCCAAGACAGAGCACAATCTGATATAGGCTATACATTTACATTCCTATTAAAAATATTTCTATATTAGTGATGTTGTAAGGAATGATTAGAACCAATAGGAGAAACCACCAGAAAGAGGAAATAAAACAAAACAGAAGGAAAAAAAAAACAATAGTATACTTCAATCTGCATTCAAACTCCGTAGTTCTTTCTTGGGATATGGATAGCATTTTCGATTGTGAGACCTTTGGAAATGTCTTAGATCCTTGCATTGCTGAGAAGGGCTAAGTCTACAAACATTAGTCACCACACAACGTGGCTGTTACTGTGTACAGTGTTCTCCTGGTTCTGCTCGCTTCACTGAGCATCAAACCATACAAGTCTTTCCAGGTTTTTCTGAAGTCTGTCTGTTAATCATTTCTTATAGCACAATAGTATTCCGTTACATTCATATACCACAACTTGTTCAGCCACTCCCCAATTCATGGGCATTCCCTCAATTTCTAATTCTTTGCTACCACAAAAAAAGCTGCGATAAATATTTTTGTACATGTGGGTCCTTTTCCCATCTGTATGATCTCTTTGGGATATCTGTATGATCTCTTTTAGGATAGCCCTAGAATTCTAGTGCTATTGCTGGGTCAAAGAGTATGCATATTTTTATAGCCCTTTGGGCATAGTTCCACTGACAATGCATTAGTGTTCCAATTTTCCCACATCTTTTCCAACATGAAAAAGCATTTATTAAGTCCTTACTATTTACCAGCACTGTGTTAAACACTGTGTAATCAAGCAAGGAAGAGAGTCCTAAGCCGTCTAGTAGCTTACATTCTAATGGCTAGAGGACAATAGTAACAGAGCTAGGAAGCATGTGTGTGGGAGGAGCATGCATGGTAATAGGTATGAAAAAGGCTGGAAAGTGATATGAAGGCCTGGTGTGAGGTATAAAGTCACTTGAGTCCAGTGCCCCAGGGCCACAGAGTCTAGGGTTCTAATAGAAGGAGGACAGAGAAAATGCCTGGAGTGCATGTGCCATGATGGAGAAATGGCTAGTAATTCTACTTGTCTCTTCCAGGATGTTGTCATTATTGGAACTCTTTTTGTAATTGCCTTCAGAACTTATGGCATAGTTTTTTTGAATATATCGAATCAAAGCAGATTATTTTTACTTTGGATGTGGCCTTGATTTTTGATAATAGGTAAAATAATTCCATAGCTAGATTTGATTGAATAAGGTGGATGAGCTAGGTAGTAACATTTTTGGTCAAAAGTTGTTAGACATTAAAAACAATATGAACTGGAATGTTGTTTTATTGAAGAGACTGTTGAGTCCTGTGTTTTATGGGACATTTCAAACAGTTCAGAATTTCTTAATTTCAGACTTGATAGTTTAAACAAAATAAATTCTGTCAACTTATGAACAATCAGTATCACAGAAAGGTGACATTGTATTGTATTTTGACATATACAGTCTCTTGGGTCCGAGGGGGATAACAGCATATTGAAGTTTTTGTGTCATAGTTTGTTTCTGGGTCACATCAGAAATGACATTTCCTAACTTGTTACTGTTTTCTTCTGAATTGTGTTAATTTTGTCTTGCTGCCTTTGAAAGATAACAAACCTTTAAGTCTAGTCTGTCTTTGAAGTTTCTGTTCTTCATTGAAAATTTTTGTTATAAACTTCTCATGTTCTGTCCAAGTTTTTGTCTCAGAGCAGATTTTTCAAATTTAATTTGTTTTCATATTATCTATTTGAATTAGATCTTTGACTAGTCATGAACATTTTCAAATGTTCTAAGATAGAGGACCGTTTTGTATATCATCATAAATACATCTACAATAGAGATATTCCATGTGGATATATTTAGATCTACAAGGGAATTTAGAGATCATTTTTAGTCCAAATCCCATGTTTTAGAGATGAACAAAGAGGTCCAAAGAATGTAAGTGACTTTTGCAAAATCATGTAGGCAAATAAATAGTATAGTTTGGCTTTGAACTTAATGTCTTCAGACTTCAAACCCCATATTCCTTTTGTTGGACTTCTCTTTTGTTGCTAGTCAGAGATTCTTGAGCTAAAAATTACTGATCCCTGTAAGCTTCTTTTGGCACCCTGTAGGCTTTCTTTGCAGGTGTTTCCTGTTAAGTACAATTTGGTATTTAAATAATTGTCACTCTTTTTTGCTGACTTGAAGTAATAATGCAAACCTTGTTTATTACATAAATATTACATATTACCTCTAGTTTATTGACATAAGGTTGACTGTCTTTCAGAGAAAGGCTACTTCAAATGTTAATCATTGCTGAATGCTTAATTCTGAAGGCCGTGTAAGACCAGTCTCATAACTTAATAGTCACCAAGATACACAAAGCATAGATTTCTCATGTTATTATTTTACAAAAGCTCAATTTGCATAATAAGTAAGAATGCTTTTATAAATAAATTGAGGTCAAGTAATTATAGTAGTTGTTCAATCCTCTTCTTCTATGAATTTAAATTTATCATTTACTATATATAACTGGCTTGTTTTCCCTTTTTGCTAGGCACTTGGGATTTCATCTGGGGAGAAGTTTGTTATTACAACAACAAATAGAAAAGAAATTACTGTTGATAACTTCAGTAAGTAATGTTCATAAGTTCTTTATGCTTCTACATTTAGCATGTTAAAATACATAAAAGGCAATAAAATTATACAATACATAGTGATAAATATATAGTGGTTGGGCTTTTGTGATGTAAATACTGCCCTTGTCTCCAGATTTTACTTTATCCCATGTTTTTGTCATGGTTTTAAAAAGCTAGAATTTAAAAATTAATATAATTCATTTTGGCACCAAAGTTGTAAGACCCTAGCATGTATCACAGTAGGTAGTTGTATTCATTGAATGAATAAAAGAATTTAAAACTTAACTTTTGTTTTTCATAGATAATTAAATTGTGGCATAAAAGTATATTCTGATTATATGCTAAAGTCTTTTTCTGTGTGTTGCTTTTTAAGAGATATTTCGTAGTTGTTGAAAAGTGTTAGAAAGTTCAATTTTAACAAAGTTTTTCTAAATGCTAGCTATGCATTTCAGGTTTTTCTTCTTGCTTATAGATGAAAATGTTCAAGACGGGGTCACTCTGTACTTACTTCAGTCAGTCAATCAGTTACTGCTTTCCGCAACAAAGGAACGAATTGACTTCTTACCACACTATGACACATTGGTTAAAAGTGGCATGTATGAATATTATGCCAGTGAAGGACAAAATCCCTTACGTAAGTATTCCAGTTCAGTCCTCATAGGATTCTTTTTGGTTATTTCTACATTTCTTTTTCCCACAAGTCTCAGTTCACACCTGTTGCCATACCTTCAGTTTCTACAAATTACCTTTCCATCTAATTTTATTTAAAAAATTAATGTACTCAAGTGTATTATGATTTACATTTGAATTATCTTAAAGAATTTAAACAGAAGACAATTATTATTTCTGTCTTCTTATAACTTACCTAATTCATTTCTGTATTGTGCATATATTTCTTCATATCCCTACAACATTTTGTCATCATGATTATTCTTTCATTGCTTTATGCTTCTTAGTATTCCTATTTTCATAATTTTAATTGAATTATAATGTTCATTTTATTAATCATTTATTCAGCTATTCAGCAGTTTGAAGACAGGCATAATGTCCTTTCTATGCCCCCTCTTTAAAAATCTAATTTTATTTTTATTCTAAAGTTAAACACAAAATGAAAATGAGCGTTTCCGTTTATGTTATAGAACAAAAGGAGAGGTTTGCATGTGAAATCACAAATTTGTGCTATTTAGAACTTGCTTTTCTTTCTAAATATAATAAATTCAGCATGTAACTTTTGTAGCTTCTCTTGCACATTTGTGATTCTTCTAAAATAGCTCTTCTCTAGGCTAAATATCATTCCTAGTTCCTTCAGTTGTTCTTTATATGGCATGAATTTAAGACCCTTTACTTCGCTATCCTTACAGCCCCATGCTGGGTTTTCTCTAGCTTATCAAACACAGCACTCCAGACGTGATCTGACCAGGTTCTGGTTCCTGGAAGCTGTGCTTCTTAGCATAGTGAAGATTATATCAACTTTATTAATTGCCATATCATTGTTTCACTCATATTGAGCTTGTAGTGTGCTAAAATCTTCAGATGCTTTGAGTTTAATTGCTTTTTAGCTATGATCTTTTCCCTCTCCTGTGCTTGTAAAGTTTATTTTTTAAACCCAAGTTAAAGAGTTAACATTTATTCCTATTGACTTTATTCTTAACTTTGTATATTTGTAAAATTAATTTTTGATGTCTTTTGTTTTTATACCATTTGTATTTACTAACGTATCTTTCCTCCTTCTCCTTACCAGAAAGTTACCCCCTGTGCTTATGAGGGGAAAAATAATTTTTGGCAAAATTTACCAACATATTAAAAAAGTCTAGCTTTATTTGCAGTGTTTTACACCTATAGTTCCACATTAATACAAAGAATTGGGTTGAGGTACCTTCTTTGGGACTGTGTTCATTAATTTTGCAGCATTTATTTTCCCTTTTTTTGGGTTTTTTTTTGTTTCCACTTACATTGTTGTCATTGTGTATATTGTTTTCTTGCTTATTTGTTTATTTCCCATCAGTATCTTAGGTTTTTCTTTGCTTCTCCATGCTCGTCTGTTGTTTCTTATGGTACAGTAATGCCCATTACATTTGTGTGCCACAGCTTATTTAGCCATTCCTCAACGTACTAGTTTGTGTACTATTCTTTGCTTCAGCGAAAAATGCTCTTATAAATATTATGGTAAATCAGGCTTTTTTTTTTTTTTGGTCGTTGACCCCTTTCAGGGGCATGTCCCTAGTAGTGGAACTTCTGGGTGAAAGAGTATAGACATTTGATCACTCTCTTTGCTTAATTTCCAACTGCTTTCCAGAATAGTTTTCATCAATACTGTATTAATGTACCAGTCTAACATCTGTGATTCCCATTATTTTTTTCTCCTTTTTTATGTTTTATCTCCTTCGGATCACTTATCTATTGAGAAATGACTTTTGAACTTTGACATGTTTTTTCTTGGATCCTAAACCATTTTTGGAGATAATTGATAACCAATTTTTCTGCCCCCCTTTCTCCCCTTTCATGGAAAGGCTTTTTAACTTAATGTAATTAGAATTATCCATTTTCTCTTGTGATTGTCTAATCCTTGGTTTGGTTATGAATTTACCCCTTGTAACACCAGTGAAAGGTATTTGATATGATTCTCTTCTAAATTTTTAATGGGGTGACATTTAAAAATTGTATGCCCTGCCCCCCTTTTTTTCTTTTTTTTGGTGAAGCAATCAGGGTTAAGTAACTTGCCCAGGGTCACACATCTAGTGTCAAGTGTCTGAAGATGGATTTGAGCTCAGGTCCTCCTGACTACAAGACTGGAACTCTATCTGCTGCACCATCTAGCTGCCCCTAAAATTGTATCTTTTTAAGGGTTTTTTTGGGTGGTATGTGGTGGAAGATGTTGATCTAAACTGAGTATTCTTAACCTTTTGTCTCATGGACTTCTTTGCCAGGCTGGTGGAGAATGCTGTTGTGGAATCGGTGGGAAGTATAGTGATGTAAAAAAAGCATCGATAAAATCTAATCTAATTTAAAAAAAAACATATCTCAAATTTGCAGATGACACAAACATGGGAGTGATAGCTAACATGATGCATTATAGTCTGGATCCTTGTAAATGTGGATGAGTTAGGCCACTAGGATATTAAACTTAAGCAAAGTAAGATGAATTTAATGGGGGTAGATGTAAAGCCTTAGACTTGGGTTAAAAATTTAACTTAACAGATGCTAGATGTGGGGAGATAAGGCTAAATAGTAGTTTCTTTGGACTCTTAAAAAATCTAGTATAAAGGGGTGGTGGTGGGAATAGGAGACACTACAACCACCTACAACCGTTCACCAACCTGTATAATCACAAAGAGTAGCTACAGGGTAGAATGAGCTATGATAGAAGAGATAGCTATAAATTTGTATAAGACAAAAATCTAAGAAAGAAGCCTGCAACTAAAAAGCAAACAGAACCACCAAACCCTTACCCTCAGGGATCTGCTTAGTTGTGAAAAAGGATGCCTTAAGAAAGAAAAAAAAACTCAGGCTGAATTTAAAGTGTTTAAGTATCACCTAGCACATTTGTTGGGGGGGGGGAGTTAATGCACAAGGATATTTTCAGTTAAAACCATGCTTGTTTATTAGCTAGCTATAAATCCTTTTGCTCTGAGAGGTAGGAAGGCCCCAGGAAGTATTATGGTTGAGACCTGTCATTTTATAGATTAAAAACTGACCCTGGGAAAGTTTAGGTGACTTGGATAAGGCCATGTAGAGACAGTATTTATGTTTTGGATTTTTAAATAGTTTATTCAGCCCTCATTGTCCTTTAGATTCCTGTAATTGTGATTCTTTGGAGACTGACATTTCAGAGTCTCTCCAAAGAGATATAGAATGTGTATGGCATGGGTGTAACTAGGCCACTACAACGAGGGGTTGTCCCAGGAAATTGCTTAAAAGATCCCCTAAAAAAGATATCAAGGTCATGTAGCGAGTTTAGTGGGGAAACAGATGGACAACCCAAGTACTTCACTGTTATCCTCTGAATATTAATAGATCTAGAGTAAGGGTATTGATTCTTTGTATGATTTATGAAATGACATGGAGAAGAATTTTTCAGGATGAGAAAGCACAGATGGTTTGTGATTTCTTCGTTTGAAGAGAAAGTCTATTTCATTGAAGAGTGAAGAATTAAAAACATGAAGTATTAAATCTTGTTTGGCTTTAAATTTCAGATCAGTCCTTTAAAAATATTTTTATTGAAATCTTTAGTTTTTACATCACCACATTTCTCAATACTTTCCCTTTCCCCTCTTCCTCCAAGAGCCATTGCTTATGTAAGAAATATATAAGGAATATCTATATCTATAGATATCACATAAAGAATGAAAAAGGAAAAAAGAAACAGTTCATCAGAAGTAACCAACATATCAACCAAGTTGAACATCATAAGTGGTGTTTCATAGCCATTGTCCCTTGTCTTTGCAAAGATGATGATGATTTATTCTCATATCTCTTTGGGGCCAAGTTTGGTTATTATATAATCACACAGCATTCAGTTTCTTCTGTTTATTGTTTTTACATTGTTATGGGCATTGTGTATATGTTTTCTTGGTTTTTCTTTATTTTGCATCAGTTAGTATGAGTTTTCATGCTTCTCTGTCTTCATATTCGTAATTTCTTGGTAATGTATGCCTAAAGAGTCATTATAATCTTTTTTTTAAAAGACATATTGAATAGGGAAGAACTACCTTTGTTTTTTGGCTTTAATGTTTTCAGTCTCTTAGCAGTTTTGTCTACTAGCAATAACTGGGATGTAGATAAAGGTATATATATATTTAAAGATCATGGTGGTGGAGTGGATAGAGCACTGCCCTGGAGTCAGGAGGACCTGAGTTCAAATCTGGCCTCAGACACTTGACACTTCCTAGCTGTTGACCTTGGGCAGCAAGTCACTTAACCCCATTGCCTAGCCAAAAAAAAAAAATCTTATCTCAATGCTCCTGACAATCTGAGTATGTTGAGAAATTTTTGTTTATGGATTAAACTTTTTATTCAAATGGCCAATGTTTTGCTATTATTAGCATGGCTTTCAGTGGTTTTTTAGTGAAAATTGTTTTTAAAGCTTGTGGGAAAATAAGCATTCATGAAAGCTTAATGAACTAAAAAAATTAGCTTTGACCAACCCTTTTCAGAGGATAGAAAGAAATCAAGCGTAAATGGTTTAAAAGTGGAATTGTCCCTTGGCTTTTTAAGATGATTGGAAAAATATAGCTATTGTTCTTCTATCACCAAGTCTGTATTAACAGGTTGTGCTTCTGTATTGGAGAGGAGGAATATACAGTTTAGGTGTGTCACTTCCTTTTTAATTAGGGAGGTGACAGCAAGGAACAGCTGTGCTTACTAAGATGAAAATATCTTGATGTCTTTACCTTGAACTAGGTAAAGCACATTGTTAAACAGGAAGTCAGATATTGTGTTAGTGGTAGTCAAATAAATAGTAATTGAGAATTTGAGGGAAGATAAATGGAGATAACAAGATTTCGGATGCCTTTCTATGTATTAAGCAGCTGCTGTGAGATAATCTTGACAGGGAGCTTCCATAACTAGTAGGATTGTCCTGTTCTAGTCCTGATTGTCATCTTAAGTTAACATTTTATCCTTACCCTAAAGATATTTCATCTTTGCCTCCACACATATTTAGGATTTATCTGTGACCACACACAACAAATATTCATTAAGTACTTACTATGGTCAGGGTTTTGATTTAAATTTTTTGGCTTACATATGTGGAAGGCAAAAATTCTTTTCAGGTTGCACTCTTAACTCCTCTCCAGAAGATTTTGTCTTCTGTGTCATAGAAACCTCTTCACTCTGGAAGTTAATTATACTCTTACCTCTTTGTCAGCTTCTTCTGATTGGGCAGTTCCTCCCAGAACCTTTTTTTTTTTTTTGGCTAGGCAGTGGGGTTAAGTGACTTGCCCGGGGTCACACAGCTAGTAAGTGTTATGTATATGAGGCTGGATTTGAACTCGGGTCCTCCTGAATCCAGGGATGGTCTCTACCCACTGTGCTACCTACCTGGCGCCGCTGTGCCCGCAGGCGTGCCGCGCCCCCCCCATGTAGAGAAATAGCAACATGGTTGTCCTGGGTTCGGGGACAAGATGTTGCTATTTCTCTACATGTTCTACTTTTCACTTATCCCCACAGGACTTTGTCTGCCATGTTCTCTTGTCAAGTTCTTCCCTGCCCCCCCCTTTTTCTGAAGCAGTTGGGGTTAAGTGACTTGCCCAGGGTCACACAGCTATTAAGTATCTGAGGCTTGATTTGAACTCAAGTCCTCCTGACTCTAAATTTAGTGCTCTATGTGCTGCCCCTCCTCTGCCCCTTTGCTGAGTACTTTATCTTCCCTGCTCTTCTCCCCTCATATGTTGTCTTCTTCCATAAGAATGTAATCTCTTTGAGGGCAGAGACTTTCTTTCTGCTTGTATTTGTATTCTTATTGCTTAGCACAGTGTCTGGCATATAGTAAGTACTTAATAAATCCTTGTTGAATCACTGACCAAAATGTATGTATCTATCATATTAGGTATTATAGAGGGCAGGAGGCTGGATCATAGAATCAGACAGTCCTTAGGGACTGTGTAGTTCAGGCTTCTCATTTTACAGATAAGGAATCAAGATCACAGATTGAGTGACTTGCCCAAGATTAAGACAGAGAGAGTAAATGGTAGAGTCTACAGTTTAACACAGGTTTTCTGACTCCAGTGCTGGTATTCTTTGTAGTATACCATGTTTCCTTCATTCCTGTAGAATTCTTTCTATAGTTAGGCACTTAATAATTAATAGTTTATTTTCTGGACCATTGTAATAAAAAAAAATCTTGATTGTCACATGCTGAATTCTTCACTGTGAAGTCAAGACTTTCAGGGTAGAATATCTGATAGGAAGCCTCATTCTTAACACAAAAAGAAAGATTAGGTTTCTTTGCAGCATGGGTTCATGAGGAATTCTATATTCATTTAAATAATCATTGTTCAAGTGTCTGTATTTTTTGTATCAGTTCTTTTCAGTATAATCTGCTTAGAATTTTAAGCTTTTGTTTAGGGGTTGGGGATCGTGCTTGTCTTACTCACTATTATGGCCCTGGCATTGAGGTCCGTCTAAATAAGTGATAGTTATTTTTTGATCATAGTGATGATGCCACCATTGAGAAATTTATGTCTAGGAATCAGTATTACTTTTGAACTGGTTTTAGGGAAAAATGATTTAAGGTACTTCTAGATATTTTTAAGTTTACATTATTGTAATAAGTATTTTTTTCATTGAGTTCAACCTATTCCTAACAATCATGGTACTTAGAAACATAGTACATGGTATTTCTACCTTTTTCATAAGTTTTAGAGGGAGACAATTGAAATTACAGTATTGAATGTGCCCCAAAATTCCTTTTAAAGCTTTAAGGTTAAAAGCTAGAAGTTCTCATTTCTTGTTTTCTGGAGTCATTGGGACGCTTTACTTAAAAACATATTGGAGTTGAAAAGTGGTGTTATAATTGTTTTCTTATTATTTTCTAGCATTTGCCCTCGCAGAATTGATTGATAACTCACTCTCTGCTACTTCACGTAATACTGGTATTCGAAGTATTCACATCAAATTGGTAAGATCATTATTTAGATTTAATTGTATTTGTTTGAGATTTAATTTTGCATGTATTCATAATTCTTTTTGAACATACTTTTTTTTCATAGCTTTTCGATGAATCACAAGGAAAACCTGCAGTTGCAGTTATTGATAATGGAAGAGGAATGACCTCTAAGCAGCTTAACAACTGGGCTGTATATAGGTTGTCCAAGTTTACAAGAAAAGGTGACTTTGAAAGGTTAGCCTTATTCACTATTTTTGTGGGAAATTGTGTTCTTGAAGATAAAACATTGAAGTCATGAATTTAGATATATAAATTAAGTTGTGGAAAATCTCAAGTGTTTTGATACATATGTAGTTATAAATAGAGGGCCTAAATTCAGAAACTGTATGTTTTTATGTAGATATGTTTGATATGAAAATGTTTCCTATTAGAATTTCAGTTTAATGGTAATAAAAATATTTTTAAAATTTCTAATTTTGTTAATACCTGCTATCCCATTGTCTTATAGTATCATGGAATTATAGATTTAGAACTAGAAAGGAGAGGTCATCTACTCCAAGCCCCTCATTTTTCTTTTGAGGAAACTGAGATTAAGTGTCTAAAATGTCACATAGTCCATGTCAGAGTTGGGGTTTTGACTTGGGCCTGCTAGTTACAAATCCACTCTTTCCACTGTACCATAATATGTTTTGAGGGTGAAAAAATGTTGAGGAGAAGGAAGACTGATTCATAATTCTAGAATGGTGGTTGCTTAGTTTTCTTAGGACGTTTTTCACTTGATTCCTTCCTAGATCATTACAAGAAGTCAGATGAAGAACTCTTGGAATCGTACTACATCTGTGTACTTCTTTAATGCCTCTGGTTCACTGCAGTGTGAACTCTTGAAAAAAAAATGTTATTGAAATTAAACGGTTGGAGACGTTTAATGGTACTTTCCTAACGTATTAGGGGTCAGATTGGTTTGCAAAGCTATCAGTGTTCTGTTTGTCCTGATCCTGTCAAGGAGCTGGACTTGAATTTGGGTCCTCCCATCTGCTGCTGACTGAGGTTTTGTGGTTATAGTACAATTGAGTCCAGTTCAGTCCAGTGTGGCCAATAGCTGGGACAGGAAGAGGATACAAAAAAAGGTCAGAAGGAAAGTGAGCCCATTCAGATAGAAGATGAAGTAGATGCTACATTTTTAACAGAAAGTCTCAGAAGTACTTCCAAGTAGAGGGCATGTCTATATACCTTATCAGAGCAGTTGATGGGAAGGAAACCTTGGAATCTACAGTCTGAAACAAGCTATGAGGACAAAATGAGAGTCAGAAGACCTAGTAACAGATCAAGTCAAACAGAAAGTCTGTGCTTGAGTAGTGTCAGGAAAGTCCTGCAATTTGTTATGGTTATGAACTGAGAATATTCTTAGGCTTTTAAGCGTGGGTGTGTAGGACTTGCCTGACCCAAGTGGTATCTCAAGTGAAAGCATACTTCTATATCCTTTTAAATAGGAGACAACTGTGTTAGAGGGAGCTGAAGATTGAAGTTAGTATTGGCATTATTTGGTTTCAAATTTATCAAATATTAGATGCTTACTATGTACAAGGCCTTGTGTTAGGTTTACAATAATAATAGATAGGATAAAGAACCTGACAAATATGCCATTGTAATTCACTAGAGGTGGGGAATGAGGAATGAATGAATAGCTTTGATATAAAGGAGAATGGATAAGTATAAAAGAATAAACTATGAAAAATGATATGGAGAATTTAAGGTGTGATAAATCACTTTCATGTGGGGAGATTGGGCAAGAGCTCATAAAATTATAATAGCTTGAGGTAGGCTTTATAGAAAGACATGCCAAAAAGCAGAGAGAAGTATATCAGAAGATACAGAGGTTTGGGAGCATCCATCCATCTTAGCCATGAAAGAATGATGTAAGCAAAGGCATGGAGAAGAAGGGTCAGAATAAGAATAGGTGACAATGAGCACTTCCATTCAGCTTGACTGTAGAGTACATAAAGGGGAAAGTAATATAGATAAGATTGGAAAGATAGTTTGAAGCCAGATTGGTGTAGTGTCTTGAATGACTAGATAAAGAGATTATGCATTTAGTAATTAGGAGCCGTAAAGAATTTTGATTAAAGGAATGAAATAAGTTGTATGTTAGGAATATTATATAGGAACATGAAACTTGTATTGGAGTGGGAATAGACTGGAGGTAAGAAGGACAATTAAGCTATTGAAATTCTTTTTATTCCTTACAGATGTAATTTTGCTTGGCTTTGTTTTTGGGGCCTCTTTCTGCAGTATAAAGCATTTACATTATTTAAAAATAATGTATAATGGGCTTGCTGTAAAAATAATTTGGCAGGTAATCTGAATATTATGCATGTAAAGCAAACAAAAATATGCTAGCAGGTATTAGAGAGATAGGTTTCCATATTTGGTATTCCTGGAGTAGCCAGGAATTGAAGGTATTAAATATCTTTATTAACTTGCCTTTTTTTTTCTTTTTTTCTGATGAGGCAGTTGTCCAGAGTCACACAGCTAGTGAGCGTTATGTGTTTGAGGCCGGATTTGAACTGGGGTCCTCCTGACTCCAGGGCTGATGCTCTATCCATTGTGCTACCTAGATGCCCCTATTAACTTGCCTTTTGAGCTATCTTGGGCATCTCCTTTTATTGTTTGGAATAACTGTATACTCCCTAAGCACTGAGGGGGTCTGAGTTTGTCAGGGACAGAGATTATTGGGTTCCTATTATCTAGAATATGACATTCTTTATGCCACTTTTCTTGTGCTATTCTTGATGGGTTGTGTGTTGCAATCTGCTCACACTAACGTGTGACTCTTTGCCCTTTGGGTGACTTAAAGTTTAATTATTTGTGGACTAGTGGCATTTTGTAATTTGTACATATTTATGTAGCTAGAAGAATATTGTTGTTAAAAAGATGTGTTTTTTTCATTGGAGGGGCTTTGGAGTCATTAAAATCATAAAATTTCCCAAAGGCAGAACAGCCAAATTTTCCTGTTCTGCTATGGGCCAGGCTCACTGTCTAACCACAGTTTTTATCCAAGATACATGTATTAGTGGGCCAATTCTATGGTTAGATAAGTGGCAGAAAGTATGTCACCAGAGGAATTTATGACCAGAAAATAAGGTAGGGGCTAGTCATATGACAGAAATGAGGAATAACCTGTGGTCAACTCTCGTGCTCCATTGGTTTCAGTGCAATGTTAGAAGAACAAGTAGAAGGCCCCCAGCATATTAGAGGGAACATTTTGGAGGATTCGTTGGAGAATATAGACAAGAGTCACCTAGGAGGAAGAGACATAGATGGGTTGTCTTCTGCATTATTAGAAGGAGTCCTCATACTAATGAGTTCATAGATCCCTCAAAATATGGGAAAAAATCATAGTACTTACCTAGCAGCATGTAGTAGGCAGAAAATAAATGTTGGGATTGAATTGAATACTTTGAATTTGAATTGAATGGAATTGAATACTCATAATTTAGCAGATCTGTGGTTTAACTTGTTAGGGTTTCCTCCACTGGAGCTAATAATCAAAACTCCAGGTTTTATCATCCTATGAGAGTCTTTAACTACTTTATTATTTTTTGTCTTTAAAAACGTTTTATTGATGCTTTCTATCTTTTTTTTTTAAATCATTGTCACTTCCCAATAATCATAATCCTACCCCTCAGAAGTTGAATGGGCTACCTCAGGAGGTAGTGGGGTGCATTGAAGGTCTTCCGGTAAATACTGGATGGCCATTTATTGGGTGTATTGTGCAGCGTGGATTCTTTTTTAGGAATGGATTGAACTAGAATGGATGCTGATGTTTCTTCCAACTGAAACATTTAATTAGGAATTTGAACTGGTGCAAGTAAGAATAATGTTGAAGAGTCTTAATATTTTTCAGGAGTCTGTTTTAACTAAATGTCTGATTTTGACATCCTTTGTGTCTGTTTTTCCTATTTTGAATCAGAATTGCCAAGATTAAAATGCCATCTTAAAATTTTAGCCACCTAATATAAAACTAGTCCAGATGAAAAGACTTTACTCTCAAGAATCTTTTCATCTTGAAGCAGCTAGGTGGCACAGTAGATAGAGTACGGGTCCTGGAGTCAGAGGACCTGAGTTCAGATCTGGCCTCAGAAACTTGACATTTACGAGCTGTGTGACCCTGGGCAAGTCACTTAACCCTATTGCCTAGTCAAAAAACAGCAATAATCTTTTCATCTTTATTTGGGTGATGAAGCATGTGGAGATTGGTGTGAGATAGCAAGATCTTGTAGAGCAAGGAAGGAAGTTAGGAAACAAGCATTCCTTAAGTGCCTTACACATATTATCACATTTGATTCTCACAAAAGACGGTTGAGGAAACTGAGACACAGGTTAAGTGACTTACACAGGGATCACACACTAGCAAGTGTCTGAGGCCATCTACCTCTTCCAAGAGGAACATTGAGGCAAGTTGGTAGTAAATGAAAAATGAGTGCTTTGATATCTCTCACCCTATTTCCAACTCTCCCTTCTTCCCCACTCTCTTCATATCCCTCCCTACTCTCTTAAGGAAATCTGGTTCTGAATCAGCTGGACCACATTTAATTTTCTTGTTTCCTCAGTTTTGGATCCCTTTGTTTTCTTCTTTCTCATTTTTTTGGTACCTTTGATACTTGTTGTCCTAGTGTCCCAGACTCAGTAGTAAAGTAGCATCATTGAGGATAAATGAAATTGCATTTGTTGACTATTTTTGCAAGTGATAGCTGCTTCCTTTGCCAGTAACAAGCTTGGTGTTGCCACTGAAACAATTCTTTGTAGTTTTATTCTTTTTTTACCAGAGATATATAGTTCAAGAATATTTAATATTTCATAGTTTTCATCTGTATTCTGTAGGCCCAGAAAAGGGATAATTGAAGCTTAATAATTGTTTTATATACAAAGAAAATGTTGCTTTGCTCTTTCTTCCTCTAAATAGATGTTAAGCAGACAGAAGAGTACTTGATTTTACAAAATATGCATGACAATAATACTTCTTTACCAAGAGAGGTTGTAGATTTCCCCCTGCATAGCAAAAAGAAAAACAGCTGGGCAGATGGCATTTCATTTGTAATGGTATACAGACAGTGGGGAAGTAGTCAGAGAGTAAAACAATGAGGTGTTGGACCAGATGATGCCTAGACTCATAGTTCTGTGTTCAGATAGAACTTTTTTTCAGCTTGAGGAATATTAGATATAAAATATAGTAATTCACACCTTAGCAATAAATGTATTGTTTAGACACAGTGTACTAACCTAATCTTTTATTTTAGTGATCATTCCGGATATGTACGTCCATTACCAGTGCCTCGTAGTTTAAATAGTGATATTTCATATTTTGGTGTTGGGGGCAAACAAGCTGTTTTCTTTGTTGGACAGTCAGCCAGAGTAAGTAAAAAGATTCTTAAGGCTCCACATAAAATTTTTAATGTATTAACTATAAAATTTTTTTGAAAAAATATTTATAAATTTTCTTTAATTCTCAACAGATGATTAGCAAACCTTCAGATTCTCAAGATGTTCATGAGCTCGTCCTCTCTAAAGAGGATTTTGAAAAGAAGGAGAAAAATAAAGAAGCAATATATAGTGGATATATTAGAAACCGGAAGGTACAGTCTGTTTTTGAAGGAAATGTATTCTTTCTCCTTAGCCTTTTCCTTACAAATTTAATTTCTACCTGAAAGTACCAATATTGTCACTTAATTAGCATTTTAAACAGTGAGTTCCTTAATTATCCTGGTATATTCATTGAATATAATCATGGAATGATTAAATTGGTGATTTTTGTGCTTTCTTTTAAAGATCTTTTAGAAAAAGGTACTCTGTAGACTTATTGATCCAACTGGTGGACCTGATTTAGGATTTTGAAATTAATTAATTTTTAAGTTATTCACATTTTATTATATTAAGGCAGCATTCTAGTGGCAGAGTTGCAAATGAAAATGAGGTGTTGGATCATCAGTTGATTTTTTTAAAATGTTTATAGCCTTGTGAGGGATTGTGTTGGTAGGTTGGGGTGAAAAAGGGGTCCAAAGATGATTGAAACACAGAAGTTAGATACTCTGAACAGATTCCCAGAGTTATTATTACTTTGTCCCATCATTGTCCCATCTTTTCTCCATTCTTCCTTTCTCTTATCATCATTTCTAAGAAACAAAATTGGGGAGAGGACATAAGGTTTTATAAATGCTTGTGAGAAGCTTATTTTATTTGTAAGGCTAGAATAGTTTTTTTGTTTTTGTTTTTGGAAGTTGGATGTTTTGAGTTCTTTTACCATTTCTGCTATATTTATAACTTACATTTGAATGATGCTTTACCATTTTCAAAATACTATTTACATATACATTTTCACCTGATACTCATGACAATGCTATATTTTTACCAGGTTTTGCTGTTAAAGCCACTCTTGTAAATAACACTGTGGCTAATAAGTGATCAAGCCAGTATTTAGAACACCAGTCTTTTCAGTATTCTTAATATTATTTCACCATATCACATCCTTTTTAAAAAATGACTTTGAGCTTAGCAATAGTTTTCTTCGATTTTGCAATATAAACATACTGCATCTTGTTCAAGAATGTTTTGGAGATTAATGATATATGTATTAAGTAATAGATGAATATTTGGTTTGTTCTGATATCTTTTAAGGATCTCTTAAAGCTCTTTTGTTTTGTTTTGTTTTTTTGTTTTGGCTAGGCAGTAAGGTTAAGTGACTTGCCCAGGGTCACACAGCTAGTAAGTGTTATGTGTCTGAGGCTGGATTTGAGCTCAGGTCCTCCTGAATCCAAGGCTGGTGCTCTGTCCATTGTGCCACCTAGCTGCCCCTCTTAAAGATCTTTTGAGGAAGTTGTATTAGTTAAAATGTTTGCACTGTAGTTATAAAAACTGGTCCCCATATGTTGGCATGCATGGTCTTTTCAGTAGTAGCTAACTTAGCATCCTCTGAAAATAGAGACATCAAACTTGTGGTTTACAACATTCCCAAACCAGATTAAAATGTAATTGGAAAATATTTAACAAAATAAATAAAAATACAATAAAATATAGATAATTTGTGGTTTTCAAAGTCAATATGTGGTTCCCAGTGATCCTTATTTATGGTCCAGTGGTCCCTTTTCCATTTAAGTTTGATGCCACTGCTTTAAAACATGTATTCTATGCTATAATTTAGCAAAGATGTTGAAAATTCAGGAGTTGTTTCCAAGTATCTCTTACTAAAAATTACAAACTTTACAATAGAAACTCTTTTAGAAGTTCCCATCTAGATCACTTTTCCTGATTGAATTTCCAATTGAATTCCTAATGTTTTTTTAAAATTTACTTTGATTTATCAATAATCACTTCCATAAGCTTTTGAGTTTTAAATTTTTCTTCCCTTCCCTCGTCCCCCTCTCTCCAAGATGGCACACAATCTGATGTAAGCTATACATATACATTCCTATTAAACGTATTTTCACATTAGTGATGTTGTAAGGAGGAATTAGAACCAATAGGAGGAACCACCAGAAAGAGAAAACAAAACAAAACAGAAGGGAAAAAAGTAGCAGATAGTATGCTTCGATCTGCATTCAAACTCCATAGTTCTTTCTTTGAATGTGGATAGCTTTTTCCATCATGAGACCTTTGGAGATATCTTAGATCCTTGCATTGCTGAGAAGGGCTAAGTCTATCAAACTTAGTCATTGCACAACGTGACTGGTACTGTGTACAATGTTCTCCTGGTTCTGCTCACTTCACTCAGCATCAGACCATACAAGTCTTTCCAGGTTTTTCTGAAGTCTGCCTGTTCATCATTTCTTATAGCACAATAGTATTCCATTACATTCTTACATGACAACTTGTTTAGCCATTCCCCAATTGATGGGCATCTCCTCAATTTCCAATTCTTTGCCACCACAGAAAGAGCTGCTATAAATATTTTTGTACATGTGGGTCCTTTTCCCATTTGTATGATATCTTTGGGATACAGCCCTAGAAGTGTTATTGCTGGGTCAAAGGGTATGCACATTTTGGGCATAGTTCCAAATTGCTCTCTAAAATGATTGGATCATTTCACAACTCCACCAAAAATGCATTAGTGTTCCAATTTCCCCACATCTTCTCCAACATTTTTCATTTTCCTGTTTTGTCGCATTGGCCAGTCTAATAGCTGTGATGTGGTGCCTATTGTTTTGATTTGAGGTTTTTTTAAAATTGTTTTGAGTTGTTTTGATTTGCATTTCTCTAATCAATAGTGATTTAGAGAAATTTTTCATATGACTATAGAGGGCTTTAATTTCTTCATCTGAGAACTGCCTGTTCATATCCTTTGACCATTTATCAATGGGGAATGACTTGTATTCTTATAAATTAGACTTAGTTCTCTCTGTATTTCAGAAATGAGGCCCTTATCAGAGAGACTGGTTGTAAAAATTCTTTCCCAGTTTTCTGCTTCCCTCCTAATTTTGGTTGCATTAGCTTTGATTATGCAAAAACTTTTCAATTTAATGTAATCAAAGTTATCGATTTTGCATTTCATAGTGTCCTCTATCTCCTGTTTGGTCATGAATTTTTCTATTCTCCATAAATCTGATAGGCAAACCATTCCTTGTTCTCCCAGTTTGCTTATGGTATCAGCCTTTATATCTAAATCATGCCCATTTTGACTTTATTTTGGTATGTGCTGTGAGATTTTGGTCTATGGTTAGTTTCTGCTGTACTCTTTTCCAGTTTTCCTAGCAGTTTTTGTCAAGTAGTGATGGCTTTATTAGAACCTTTCTCATGCCTCTCAATTTTACCTTTAGGTTGTTTTATGCTAATATATCTAGACCACCCTCATTTTATAGAACTTTAAATGATCTCAAAGTTTGTGTTTTGTAACTGCAAATAAAGCATATAGACAGATCTATTCTATATGTTTATTGTAGTCTTTGTGTAATATATAAATATATTGGCAGATTTTTATATATGGAACATGGGTTTTTGAAAATGTATGATGCTTTTTTCCCCTACTTTATTAAGATACTTTATTTAAAAAAAAAAGTGGAGTATTAGAAATCCCTTGCCAGGATAATTTGAGTTGGACAAAGTTACTTTTGGCCAAGCTATGCATATTAGGTCTGCCTTCTACCTTTTAGCTTTGTCATAATGACCTGGCGATTAGCCCTACCCCAAGCTTAAGGATTGGGGAACCTATAGAAGGAACTATAACTTTTTGGGTAAGATTGACCCCCTCCTTTTTCTCTATATGACTGCTAGTATTGGTTCACTGTTTAATTATTCTCATGTTGATACCCCAGTAACTCAAGTTATTAGCAAGTTGTTACTTGAGTATGTTACGCTACCAGTCTCTAAGATAGGGCTTCTTGCTCATCTACTGATAGGAATAAATGAAATATTTATTAAGCTTAATACATGCGAATCACTTTGTGTACTAAGGATATAAGTAGAAAAGAAAGTCCTTATTCTCAAGGAACATGAGGCAGACGTATATTGGAGGTTTCAAATAGAAAGGTCCCATGGTCCTTGGTGTTTAGCAGCAAAGCAGTTAGTAGTACTTTTAAAATGTCATTTTCACTGATAAAATCCTATTAGTTTCTTGTGTTGGACCATTTGATAAATGGGCTGAAATTAGCTTGATAGCTTAGCTTAGTTTCCCAGTGCAGGTTTCTACATAGGCCCAGATTAAGTTTCCTTACAGCCGCAAATTTTTTTTTTTTTGGCGAGGGTCACACAGCTAGTAAGTCTTATGTGTCTGAAGCCAAATTTGAACTCAGGTCCTCCCGAATCCACAGCCGGTGCTCTATCCACTGTGCCACCTAGCTGTCCCATAAATTTTGATTAACTATACTTTAGTTCATATAATTTCAATTTTATTTTTAATAGCATAATACAGTGTAATGATTATATTCGCTTTTTTAGCCCTCAGATTCTGCTCACATCACAAATGATGATGAAAGGTTTCTACACAGTCTTATTCTTGAGGAGAGAGAAAAAGATAGTTTTACTGCAGTGGTTATTACAGGAGTGCAACCAGAACACATACAGTACTTGAAAAATTATTTTCATCTTTGGACGAGACAATTAGCGTAAGTCAATTTTAGTATTTTATTTGGAAATATATTGTGTGGGGTTAAAATTTCGAGAATATTTTTTGTAAGAATGAATGGCTTTAAATTCTTTTTTTAATTCAGTCATTAAATTACCTATTTGAATATCTTATTATAATTTGGAGGGAGTCATTGGATTTCAGAGGCAGAGCAGAAATTTTGTAAAGTCCTGCATGGCAGTAGACTGGGTATGGGCAATCAAAACAGTTGTGCACCAACCTGGGTAAGTTTAGAAAGGGTTTATCACTATATGGTTGGCAATCAGGATATTAATTTTTTTTGGTTTCATAGGTTTCAATCCTCACTGTTGAAGGGTATACTTATATTAATGAAATAATGGAGCCCTGACATACTAAGGTATAGGAAGGAAACTAGCATTTAATAAGTACTTAGTGAGTACCTGGTACTATACTAAATACCAGGGATCCATATAAATAAACAAAAAGAAGAAAAGTCTTTGCTCTCAAGGAGCTTACATATTCTAATGGGAGGGGTGGTAAGACAGCTCACAAAAGGGAAGTGTAAAATGGGGTAGGGACAGTGCCAGGAATGGGGCCTGGAGGACGCTAACAGCAGACCTACCCTTTTGCAAAATGAATCCCTAGCAGAAACTGACTAATGGGAGAAGTGGGGTGGGCCTTGCATGGTGAGTGGGCTTCTGGAAAGGTAGGCTATTATAGGGAGAGGAGACTCTGGGTGCTAAGGGAAGTTTCAGGATAAGCCATCAGTAAAGGGAAGGGAATGGTTTTTAAGTCTAGAGGAAGTCAAGAAAAAGCCCGGGAAGGGGGAATGTGTAAATTTAATAATCTTTGTATGAAGTTATTTGATTAGAATAGAATCTGATGAATACCTGGAAAGTAATGGCCTTATTCTTATTGTTTTATTAGGTATATCTTTTGGAATAGACATATTCCTGAGAAGTTGGTTATAAAGTTATATCCTCTCAACCAAATCATTTTCATTATAGGAATTTCAGATTTATTCTTTTAAGAAAAAAATTTTTGCCTCAAGATGTCGTACATAAAAATTTATCAAGCTTTTTAGAATGACAGAGTATTACTGGTTTAGCAGAAGTAATACTTGTTACACTCAATTGTAAAGTTTTAAAGGTGGAAGGGACCTAGAGATTTTGTATAGCTATTGTACCAGAACCATAGTTTCTTTCTTTCTTTCTTTCTTTTTTTTTTTTTTTTGGGCAATTTGAGTTAAGTGACTTGCCCAGGGTCACACAGCTAGTAAGTGTCAAGTGTTTGGTCTGAGGCTGGATTTGAACTCAGGTACTCCTGACTTCAAGGCCAGTGCTCTATCCACTGCACCACCTGGCTGCCCCAGTTTCTTTCAGTTATACTTTAATCTACAGTATCCCATTGGAAAGAAATATATTTAATAAGTAGTGAATAGCTTTCTTTGGTATACTTTGCTGTGTAAGTTGTTTTTAATGATGACCCATTGTATTTTTTTTAATAACCCAAGTAGTAATGTATCATTTTTATAATAGTTTCCTAAAATATGTATTTTTGCATAGTGGACTTCTATTGTGTGCCTAAAGAGATTAATTTATAATATTGATGTTATTTACCACATTTAACACACAAAGATCTATTGTTGAATTTCCATATTGTTATGGGTACATTTTGTTTTTATATACTTAAATAATTTTTTCTTTCCTGTTTAAAGTTCATTGGAAGGATACCAGATGAACAGTTTTCATCTTTTAAAAAAGTTTACATCTCCTACAAACCAAAACATTAAATTAGCACATAGTTGTTTTCATACCCCTAAGGATTTTAGTGAGAGGCATAATGGTTTGGTAAATATTGCTGGACTTGGGAGTTAGCAAGTCTGGGTTCAAATACCCATTTTGACACTAACTATATGACCTTTGAGCAAGGCATTTAACCCCTCAGTATTTCAGGTAATCCCCAGGACTCATCCACTGATGAGAGGGGTCATAGGAATTGCCATACTCCCATTTTGATAAAATTACAGATCATTCATCAAAACTTTGTATGTGTAAGATAAAGATTGCATTTAAAGTTAAGTTGGGTTTTTTAGTGTGTATGATAGATCATCAATTTCATGTCTGAACCCTGACACATATCGATGTTGTGATCCTGGTATATTAGAGCCTCAGGTGACTCAGACTCTTTAAGGTGCATGACAGATCATCAGATCCTTTGCCCTTAATTTTGACCCCTGTGAAAAAGTTACTATAGGCCTACTTGTGATTTGAATAGAGATTATTTTTGTCATCTAAGTTATAAAGAATTAGTATCTGCTCCCTGCTTAAAAGAATTACTTTCCAAATGTGCATTCTTTATTCCATTAAAAATATGATTTAGTTCTTCACGGAGGCTAAGTTAATGGGTAGCGCTCATTGTTATGTATACCATTAATGAAGAGTTAAAGAAGTAGATTTAGTTATAGGTGTTTCCACATTATTGCCTTTTTATTCAGTTGCATTTTTAAAAATAGCTGGGGTTCCAGATTTAATTAGTAGTCTCTTAATTCAAAACATGGAGAGCAAATAATTGTGAGATTTTCCTGGAAAAGCGGCTAAAAATCCAGGCACACCTACCCTGTATTAATTCACTAAGATTTAAATTTTGTATTTTGAACATGAAAATAATTGTATGAAAAGGTTCTAAAATGTCAGGACTTGCAGTGAGGCTCACTTAAATACTTCAGTTTTGTTTGTTTTTAGAATACTGCATTTAGGTAAATAGATGTTTGTCCCAAAGTTTGAAGACTGATAATTGTAGTTCATACAAAGCTGAGATAAAACTCATATAATAACTGCTTTTCTTAATAGAAAATTGTTAAATGAAGTAACAATTACATATAACTCAATATAAAGTTGTTGTTCTCAATTCTAGACATATTTATCATTACTATATTCATGGACCAAAAGGAAATGAAACACATGCTGCAACAAAAGAAGTTGGACCATTCAACAACATTGATATGGAAGTAAGATGTAAACACATTCCAAATATTTCAGTTTGTAAGATCTCTTGTCCTAGATTATGATGACTAGATAACAAAAACTCAGGGGAAATTCTTTTTCCCTTTTTTTCTTTTACCCAAGTAGTTTGGTGAACTAAAGTGGTAGGAGGGTATCATTCTCAGAATCTTAAATGTTGCAAGGAACTGCATAGGATCACGGAATTTCAGAGTTGAAAGAGACATCAGTGGTTATCTAGTCCAAGAATCCTCTCTACAACATACAGAATAAGGGGGTATTCAGCTTTTGCTTGAAAACTTGAAAACTTTCAAGGGAGGCCCTCCTGACCTCCAAGGCAACTCATTATGTGTGTAGCTCTGTTTATTAGGAGATTTTTCCTTCCATCAAGCCTAGATTTTCCTTTTTGCAGCTTTTACTCAAGTTCTTTTTACTCAGACTAAGCAGAACAAGTCTAATCCTTCTTCTAAGTGACAGCTAATAGTTTATCCACTGGAGTCATTAGAACTTCTAGCACTCTTAAACTATCCACATAGTTTAATAAACATGCTAATTAGATCTTTCTCAGTGATCACAATATTAAATGGCAAATGGCCAAGTGCAGATTCTTTGGCTACATCTACAACAGACCACCCTTGGAGTTGATTTTGAAACATTAATAACTACTCTTAATTACTAACTGCCATTCAATGTGTTTTAAACCCACTTACCTGGATTATTTGCTAATTTGCCTCTCTCCATCTTCTCCCTAAATGTACCATGAGGTTTATCAAATGCTTTTGCAAAATCTAGAAACACCCTTATCTTCAACATTTCTTGGATATAATAGACTAGTAACCTAACCTTATAAGGAAAGAAAATGAGGGTTTTGGCCTGACCTTTTTTTGATGATGATATGCAGTTTGGGTTTTTGTGATCTTATTTTTCTTTTCTAGATATTCCCAAACCATTACTCTTGTAGTGCTTTCCCACATTTTGTTAGGAATACGAATCAAGCTCACTGGCTATAGTTTCCAAACTTCATTCTCATCCCCCATGCCCCCCATCACTGACAGTGCCTTGGCCATGTATCTACCAGTTTTTTCATACCTGAGAATCTAAATGGTGTGAGCTTCATTCGGTGCTCTCTCACTGTTGCTTCTTATCTTGATCTTCTTGTTAACCCTTTGAAATACATTTGGTAACTTTTCTTACTGTGCTCTTCCATTCTTTGTGTTTTCTACTTCTTCTGGCCATAAGGCTTTAAGACTACCTTAGAGTGTAGTGGGTTGGTTCTCCCTGGAAGTCTTCAAGCAAAGCTTGGATGACCACTTGTGAGGTATCTTGGCCAGATTGTTCTTATGACTTCTGAGATGATTGCATGATTCTGCTGTGGATGCTGACCAGCTGGACTTAGTTAACTGATATTTTCCTTTTCTTCAAACAGAAACTACTGGTGAAGTAGAAGCAATTCAGAGCTCTCAACATTTTTTGCCTCCTTTGAAGGAGATAGCATTGTGGAGAGAACCTTTCATTTGGAATTAAAGAACCTGGAGTTAATTCCAGGATCTGCTATATTAGCTATTTGACATCATACAAGTTATTCAGATACTCTCAACTTCAGTTTCTTGATTTGTAAAGTAGTAATTGGACTTTGTATTACAGGATTTTTTTAAAGATAAAATATGATCATGTACATAAAAAGCCTTTTTTAACTACAAATACTGTATAAATGTGAATTGCTAGTATCATGATGATTGTCATCACTGCTTTTCACCACTAGTAGAACTACCTTGAATTAAATGTATCTTTATGTTATTTGTATTCACTTGTAATTTGCATCTTCCACTATTGGGTATAATTTCCTTTTCTAAATTTTAATTTCTTTTTTGAGCTAGATGATTAAATATTCACTTAACATTCTTAATTGTACCATACCATATTGAGTGGTGATTGGGTACAAGCAATGAGTTTTCACATTTAAGTTGTATTTAACACTTATTTGATTGTTTATTTTTGTTAATTTTTGTTCTAGATTTCTATGTTTGAAAAAGGGAAAGTACCTAAGATTATCAACCTTAGAGAGATCAAAGATGACATGCAGACTTTATATATAAATACGGCATCAGATAGTTTTGAGTTCAAGTCCCACGTAGAAGGAGAAGGTGTGGTTGAAGGAATCATTCGTTATCATCCTTTCTTATATGATAAAGAGACTTATCCTGATGATCCCTGTTTTCCATCAAGTACGTTGGTCCTGTGTCCTACTTCTACAAAGTTGTGGTTCAAGAAAAGTGTTTGGGTTTTAAAATGAAGAGTTGGAGAGGTTATTAGTTGGATGTCTGTGCATAGTGTGTCTGTTCGGAGGGGAGGCGGCATGTGGGGTGTGGGTATGGGGGGGGTGTACATGTGCCCAGTAACAAAACGGGCACAAAGAACTATGTTTTTCTGGACCCTTGTATCTTTTGTTTTGTTTTGGTTTTTGCTTTTTTTTTTGGTGAGGCTATCAAGGGTTAAGTGACTTGCCCAGGGTCATGCAGCTAGTAAGTGTCAGGTGTCTGAGGGTGGATTTGAGCTTTAGGTCCTCCTGACTCCAAGGCTGGAGCTCTATCCACTGTGCCACCTAGCTGCCCCGACTCTGGTATCTTTTAAAAATTATTTTTGATTTTTCTGTTACCTTAACTGTAAGGCTATAGTTTATAATTTAGCAAAGTGCTTATTTTATAATTTGTCCCTTCCAGTCTTTTGTGGACTGGGATATGAAATAACTCTGTTTGGGTTGTGTCCAAATGTAGAAAAAAATTGGTTTCATTTGAAGACCTGCACAGGAGATCTAAAACATCAGGTTCATTAAGTTTTGTTGTATAGACTTTGACATCTCATTTGGTAGATCGTTTTTTTCTTTTTGGTTGCTTACTTGTTTGTAGCCAGATTCTCCAGACATTTTGGATGTTGAATATGTTATCTCTGGAGAGGTGAAGTATTATTTCATCTGTATCATGCCTGGTCTCATTTAGAGCAAATAGGTAGTTGTATTCTGTTGATGGACAAATTATTACAGAATAATAAGATATTCTGTAGTATATCTAACTATACATAATTCATGATTATTACTTGAATAATCTGACCTTGTTTAAACTTCTTTTTCTGAATCAAGATTAGGACTAAAATCTCCATTAACTGTAGTTGCTTTTCCCCACCTAGTTAGGAAATGAGATTACAGATACATACCACCACCATTTCAATAGTTATTTTCAGTGTGAAAATTCCTGAAAATGTTGGCAAAATTGTAGAATAACAAAGGGATGATTTGTAGATAAATTGTAGAATAACAAAGCCTTTTCAAGTTGGAGCCTTTTGTACCATTGTTACTAAAGGGGAAATTAGATCTATTAGTGAACAGATTTTATCAAGTGCTTCTGTTCATTGTGGATAAAAAGACAAAGGACACAATATTTGTCCTTAGGTGCTTACATTTTGTGAGGAGAGGCAACCTGTACACATATAAGTACATATGAAATACATAGGAAGTGTTCAGGAATCACTGGTAGCTTGGGGGCATCAGAAGAGGGCTTGTGTTGGAAATGGCATTAGAGCTGAACTTTGAAGGAAATTAGAGAGGTAATAAGGAAGGACATTCTGGGCATGGAGGTGAGAGAAGGGGAAAGGAAGAGAATAAGCATTTGTTAAGCTCCTCCTATGTTAGGCACTGTCCTAAGCACTTTATGAATATTATTTTATTTGGTTCTCATAGCAACTCTGTGAAGTAGATGCTATTATCCCCATTTTACAGTCAAGGAAACTAAGGCAAGCAGATTGCCCTGGGTCACATAGGGAGTAAATTTCTGAGTCCAAATTTAGACCCACATCTTCCTGACTCCAGGCCCAGCGCTGTCTCCACTGCACTACCTTTCTGCTTTGCAAAAGTGTGCAGAAAGGAAGTAGAATATCAGATGTAAGAAATATGAAGAAGGACATTTTGACTAGGCCATCTTGTATATGAAAAAAAAATGATTTGTAATGAAGCTAGAAAGGTAGATTGGAGCAGAGTTGTGAGGGGCTTTAAGTGACTTAGGAAGCATTTATATTTGATCCCAGACGTCATGGAATATGGACCTAGAGGGGGACCTCAGGGACTATCTAATCCAATCTCTTTGTTTTATGGATTAAGAAACTGAGGCCCAGGGAAATTACTTTGACTTCCTCAAGATAGCCAATATCAGATGTTATCTATATTATAGAGAGAAGAGAAGTGTGCTTAGGATAGACCTTTGGGGAACACCCACAGGGGGAAGGAAAGGAAAGATAATAGCCAAGCAAAGGAGACTGGAAAGGAATGGTCAAAAAGTTCAGTAATCTGGAGATAGCAATGTTGTGAAAACTTAAGATACATTTTGAATTATTTGTGTGTGTTTTTATGGGAACCTAATCATTATTCTTAATGCAGTAAGAAAATTCATTTTAGTGCCAAAACGGTTGACTTAGAATAAGCTTTTAGGGTAAGTTGGGACCTGCTGTCCTGTCCAATCCCCCCCTGCCCCCCATATACACACACAAATAGACTAAGTCTTTTTTTGAGACTTGGTAGGTAGCTGCTTCAACAGAAGTTATCGCAAATCTTATTTGTAAGGTCTTTTTATAGCAATAATCTTTTTTTTGTTCTGATTTTGTCTAGAATTGAAAGATGATGATGATGATGATGACTGTTTTATAGTAGAAAAAGGAGCAAGAGGGAAAAGACCCATTTTTGAATGTTTTTGGAATGGAAGATTAATACCCTACACAAGTGTGGAAGAGTAAGTTTTGCTTTTCTCTAAAACTTACATCGTGTTGTGTCTTAGAATCCTATGTTTCTACTAAATGATTTTCTCTTCTCTTTAAGCTTTGACTGGTGTGCTCCTCCTAAGAAGCGAGGCCTTGCACCAATTGAATGCTACAATAGAATTTCTGGTGCATTATTCACTAATGATAAATTTCAGGTCAGCACAAATAAACTGACTTTTATGGATCTGGAACTAAAGCTGAAAGATAAGAACACTCTTTTTACAAGGATTTTTAATGGACAGGTAATGTTTTGGTATTTTGAATTATATATTTGTTTACACCGTTGTTCTAGTTTAAATTAGAAAAATTCCAGTGCTATATAGTGCATTTTATGCCATGTTTTCTACTTTATTTCTGTAACTTACATTTATTTCTGATAGATACTAATAAAAGTACTGCCCTTTCTTTTTATGTGGAGAGGGAACTATGACTGTTTCTGTATAGTTCTGTTTTTGTTTTATCGAATATTTTCCCTCCAAATTTTACAGGAGCAGCGAATGAAAATTGACAGAGAATTTGCTTTGTGGTTGAAAGACTGTCATGAGAAGTATGACAAACAAATAAAATTTACACTCTTTAAAGGAATAATTACACGGACAGACCTTCCTTCTAAAAGAATGCAAAGTCCATGGGCTACATACTCTGCAATAGAATGGGATGGAAAGACATACAAAGCAGGGCAGTTGGTAAGTTTACATTTTGGCATGTATGTTTTTGATATTCCTAAATTCTTTCTTTTTGTGTGGCAACTGGGGTTAAGTGACTTGCCCAGGGTCACACAGCCTAAATTCTTTCTTTAAAAAAGAATTACGAACCAAAATAGATTATATGGAACTTTACTATCCCTAGCTAATATTGACATAAATCAGGAGTGGGGAACCTGTGGCCTTGAGGCCACATGTGGCCCTCTAGGTCCTCAAGTACAGCCCTTTGACTGAATCCACAGAAGTTTGGATTCAGTCAAAAGGACTCACTTGTGGACCTAGAGGGCCACATGTGGCCTTAAGACCACAGGTTCCCCACCCCTGACTTAAATGAGTTTTGATAGTATAAAGTTTTAGAATATGTCATATTTTCACATACTTTGTAAATACTGTATTCTAAATAGACTTTTGAAAAATATTTATAGTGAAATAATTATCTGTAATTGGTATTAGCTGGTTTTCATCCTGAATTGGATTAACTAAATATGTAGGTTCTCCCCCCCCCATTCTAAATTTTATAATGTTATGCTCTAGGGAAAAAATTATAATTTTATTAAAGAAGCCATATCTGTATAATGGTTATTATGCCTGAACTAAAATTTCTGAAACAAGTGTTAAATTTTTAGCACTTTGAGTTTATTCACAGTGCTCTTTGTTTGTGGCAAAGATTTTATTCAGATAAAGTTTTTGTGTTTTAATAATTCATATCAAGCAATATAAGCAGTTTTTCAATTTTTAGAATTCATATATTTCATTGATCTCATTTTCAGTATATGGGTCAGGTAATATTCTTGTTGGGTGGATCTAGAAACAGAAGAACATGTATAATGGCAATTATTCTTAAATGTAATGAGAGTCTCACCAAAGTTAGAATGTAGATTTCAAACCCAGTGCTTTTCCCCCCTGGCATTATTTTAATTAAGAGACAGTGTGTGATTTGGGGTGTGGGCATAATTTTTGAACTTGGAGTCAGAAAGATCTGGTTTAAAATTTTGCCTTTAATGTATGTTAACTATGTGATCCTGGGCAAGTCACTCAACATGTGTGCTTTAGATAGATAGCTCCTCAAGACTCTACAAACTAAGTCTTTGGAGGGGTTGCAGTAACAGCCAGAGTTCCCTACCCTGATAGAATTGGAAATATGAAAAGCTAGTTCACATTTGAGTTTTATATCGGCTATTATAGATGAATCTATTTGTGTGTATAATTTATATTTTATTTTCATAACATGAATTATAACAGAATATGTGAGTATTAATACTGTGGGGTTTTTTTTTTGTTGTTGTTACTGAATATTAGGTTAAGACAACCAAGACACTTCCACTCTTTTATGGAAGCATAGTAAAATTTTTTCTTTATGGTGATCACGATGGAGATGTATATGCTACAGGAGGGGAGGTTCAGATTGCAATGGTAAGGTAACAAGGAATGAACGAAAATTATCAGAATTCTTTTGGTACTTTGTGCTTCTGGATTCAGTAAATGTTTTTTAAAAATCTTTCATTTTTATTTTCTATTTGCTTAATATTGTCCCATTTTCTTGGCTCATCCTTGCATGGAAGTCAGTAATAGTTTTAGAGTATCTCAGATATGTCTCATTAAGCTTGAAAGGCATTAAGTATGACTCCATTAACAGATTGTCTTCTTAGAACCAGTTAATATAAGTGTGAGAGGGTCATCATTGGAAGGTTGAGCTTCAGTAAGTTAAATTTTTGGTCATAGCATTCCATTAAGTTGTTGAGGGCTTGGATGATGGGTGGTTAAATGAATACTCTGAAAAAAAAAACCTATGCATCTTTTAGAGTAGTACTGAATTAAGATTATTGTATAATATTAAGCTTTAGTTACTATCAATGATGTAATTTTCTTTTTCTAAATCAAAATGTGTTTTTAGCATTGATTTCTGTTTCATTGTTGATGAGATCATAAAGTGAACCATAGAGCCTTACAGTCATTACAAATGCTATAGTCATCACAGTTAAATAGCTTTTTGATTAACACAGAACAAGATTTTGGTTATGTAAAGAGGTTATAGTATATTTTTTTAGTATAATTTCTTTAGTATAATATAGAAATATCTGGTAGATATTTTAGTACCTAGCTAGATTAAAGTACATTTGTGGAAGTTAAGTTCTTCATTTTAAATACATACAACTTGTTTTTTGTAATGCCTGCTAATAATAACATTCATTGGTTTTTATGTACTTAGGAGCCTCAAGCTTTATATGATGAAATTAAAACTGTTCCTATCACGAAGCTTGACAGGACAGTAGCTGAGAAAACTGTCAAAAAATATGTAGAAGACGAAATGGCAAGGTAAGATTCATTAAACATGAATTATATTATTAATTAGTCATAAGTGTATTTAAGTGATATTTGTCAATTCTGTTCTTATAATAGGGCAGTTATGCATTATATCTGTTAAAATAGTATTGCTTTGCAAATCTAAATTTGTATTGGAAATGTGAAGGAAAAGAGTTCATATTTATAATGTGGATTAAATTTAAGAAATACTGCTAGAAAATTTCTTTTAAATTGTTAAAAACTTAGCAAAATGTCTTTTCTTGGGGCAAAAAATTAGAAGTTGAGAGGAAGCCCATCAATTGAGGAATGGCTGAACAAGTTATGGTATGTGATTGTGATGGAATACTATTGTACTATAAGAAATGGTAAATAGGATGCTCTCAGAAAAACCTGTAAAGACTTGCATGGGCTGATGCAAAGTGAAATGTACTGAGTACCAAGTAACAGCAATATTGTGTGATGATCAGCTGTGAATGACTTAGTTATTCTCAGCAATACAGTGATCTAAGACGACTCTGAAGGATCTGTGATAAAAAATGCTATCCATCCCCATACTTTTAAAAAACTTTCTTTATTTTTCTTGAGTTTTTTTGGTCTATGTTTTCTTTCACAACATGACTTTCATGGATGTATTTTGCATGACTACACATGTATAACCTATATTGAATTGTGTGCCTCTCAAGGGTAGGGGATGGGAAGGGAGGGAGGGAAAGAATTTGGAACTCAGTTAAAAAAAAATTTTTTTTTATTAATTTTATTTTGATTTATCAACAGTAATTTCCATAAGCTTCCCACCTCCCTCCCCAAGATGGCGCACAATTTGACATAGGCTTTACATATACATTCCTATTAAACATTTTCACATTAGTAATTTTGTAAGGAAGAACTAAAATCAATAGGAGGAACCACAAGAAAGAGGAAACAAAACACAATGGAAGAAAAAAAAATGGCAAATAGTATGCTTCAATCTGGATTCAAACTCTGTAGTTCTTTCCTTGGATGTGGATAGCATTTTCCGGCATGAGACTTTTGGAGATGTCTTAGATCCTTGCATTGCTGAGAAGGGCTAAGTCTGTCAAAATTAGTCATTGCACAAACATGGCTGTTACTGTGTTCAATATTTTCCTGGTTCTGCTAACCTCACTTAGCATCAGTTTATACAAGTCTTTCCAAGTTTTTCTGAAGTCTGCCTGCTCATCATTTCTTATACCATAATAGTATTCCATTACTTGTTTAGCCATTCCCCAATTGATGGGCACTGCCACAATTTCCAACAACAGCTTCTGGGCTAAGAACTCACTATTTGACAAAAACTGCTGGGAAAACTGGAAAAGCGTAGGGCAGGAACTAGGCATATACCAAAATAAAGTCAAAATGGGTTCATGATTTAGATATAAAGGCTGATACATAAGCAAACTGGGAGAGCAAGGAATAATTTACCTGTCAGATTTATGGAGAATGGAAGAATTTATGACCAGACAAGAGATAGAGGAACTTTGTGAAATGCAAAATGGATAACTTTGATTACATTAAATTGAAAAGTTTTTACACAAACAAAGCCAGTGCAACTAAGATTAGAAGGAAGGTAGAAAATTGGGAAAGAATTTTTACAACCAGTGTCTCTGATAAGGGCCTCATTTCTAAAATATATAGAGAACTAAGTCAAATTTATAAGACTACAAGTCATTCCCCATTGATAAATGGTCAAAGGATATGAACAGGCAGTTCTCAGATGAAGAAATTAAAGCATTCTATAGTCATATGAAAAAATTCTCTAAATCACTATTGATTAGAGAAATTCAAATCAAAACAACTCTGAGGTACCACATCACACCTACCAGATTGGTCAACATGACAAAATGAGTAAATAATAAATATTGGAGAAGATGTGAGGAAATTGGAACTCAGAGTTTTGAAAATGAATGTTAAAAATTGTTTTTACATGTAACTGGGGAAAAATAAAATACTAAATAAAAGCTAAAAAAACCCTTAGAATGATTACCAAATGGGACTTTATTTTTGACATAGCTGATTTTTTTCACTTAAGCATCATGAAGTTTGTTTCGTCGGTATTGTATGGTACAGTAATGAGTAGATATAAGAGTTATTCTTCTGGTTCCTCTACTGAGATTTTTTGTTTTTTAGGGCTTCTTTCAGTTCATTTTCGTTCTTAAATATGTTTAAAACAAAAGCTGTGTCAGTACTAAAAATGATAAACGCCATAGTCTTAGAATTCATACTTTCACCAAAAAATAATCTCTAGGTTAATGAAAATTATATAAAATAAAACTGAGTACATGCACATACATTTAATCTCAATCTCATTGTGTTTCCAAATTTCTCTTTGATGGATAATGGATTTATATTGAGGGCAAAATGGTTTCTACTGAGATTCATGTAGTAGAAATTTTATCATCTGCCTTAAAGAGAATTGTTGACTCAGTTGGATGAGGAATTTTTTTCCTGTTTATAATTATGGCATATTTTATAAATTGGAATTGTGATACATTGTTTTGGTCATAGACTTCCAGATCGTTTATCTGTAACTTGGCCTGAAGGAGACGAATTGTTACCAAATGAAGTCAAGCCTGCTGGGACCCCTATTGGTATGATTTATGCCTAATATTAAACATGAAACTTGTTTGGCTATTTTAGTATCTTAGTTTATAAACATATTAAAGAAGAATTTATAATTCAGTCCTTGTCCCAAATCACTCTTTGCTTTAGTCCATGCTGTACAGTGTAGTCTACACAATTACCAAAATGATTTTTCTTAAACTTTTTTGATTATGTCCCTCTCCTCTTTTAGCTCTTTGTTGCTTTTATAATAAAATATAAGCTTCTAATTTTTGGCTTTTAAAGACCATCACAGCTGTGGCACAATTTACCTTTCCAGTTCCATTGTGTAGTATTCCAGTTCTCGCATGTTTGTGTAGTTCAGCCAAACTAGCCTTCTCAACATTCTTCACACTCACTTTCCATCTAACATTCCATCTCCTGTTTCTGTGCCTTTGTGTTGGTTATCCCCTAGTACTGGAATTCTCTCCTTTACCTCTGCCTCAGATACTTTGTTACATCCTTCAAGAGTAAACTCCAATATTATGTTCTATATGAAACATTTCCCGATGTCCCCCAACTGCTCCTGCCCTACCTTACAAAACCACCTTGTATGTATTTTGTTTATACATTGTATATTATTATATATGAAGGTTTTGTCTCCCTTGATATAATATAATCTCCTTGAGAGATTTTTATACCCCTAGTACTATATCTAGCATAAGAAATGTCTGCTGATTAATTAATAGTAACTACTAACTTGAGATTCTTGGTTTGTAGCTTTATGAATATAATTTTTCCTTCAATATTTCATTGATATATAGGTGCTTTAAGAATCGAAATACTGAATAAGAAAGGGGAAGCTATGCAAAAGCTCCCTGGTACAAGTCATGGAGGATCAAAGAAACTACTAGTTGAGCTGAAGGTTATTTTACATTGTAAGTAAACAAATGGACATTGTAACTTTGTTCCTTTTTTTTCAGAGGTAGTAGAAATTTGCAAATTTTAAATTCATCAAGTATTAATGGAGCTTCTAAGAAATTTTATTTGATCTCTTGGTGACATTTTAGCCTACAGTGATATATTCTCCTTAAAGTCATGAACTCTGTTTTCATCTTTATTTTACCGGTGCCTACCTGATGCCTTGCACATAATAAGAGTTTAAAAGATGTTAATTTTTTTTTTTTTAGTGAGGCAGTTGGGATTAAGTTACTTGCCTGGAGTCACACAGCTAGTAAGTGTTATATGTCTGAGACTGGATTTGAACTCAGGTCCTCATGACTCCAGGGCAAGTGCTCTATCCACTGAGCCACCTAGCTGCCCCTAAAAGATGTTATTTAATTGAACTATACGAAAATGCCAGCTACAGACTTGATTGTACTTTTTTGCCACTCCAGATAGAGATGCTGTTTTTGCTCATGTGGATACTTTTTCCCTTTGGGATATTGACTTAGTCGTGATATCACTGGGTCAAAGAAAGTATTCAGTGATATTTGGGGCATTTCAATTGGAAAAAAAAATACTCCATTTTAGGATTTTGGTTGTCACAGCTTCAAAAAAAATGTTACTAGAACTCAGTAGAGCTGCATCCTTAGCTATTATTCTGACTCTGACTTGATCATAACAAGGCCTTTGAAAGAGATCTGGGGGTGGTGATGAGTTACTGGGATTTGGACCATGGGCTGTCATTATAAGGCAGAATCATAATAAAAAGAGATGTTATAGTGATTGACCGGGAGGTGATTGGCATAGATCAATAAGTGAAAGAGAAGGGTTATAGATGTGTGGACAAAGAGGACTATATTTATGAGATTATGTACTAGGAGTTAGTAGGCTTTAGAATCTAGTCTGACCTCACCATTATTAAGCTATGTGACAGGAAGGAAATCATTTTACTCCAGTGTTCTTAGTTTCTTCCTCTGTAAAATTAGGAGGATTTCATTAGATGACCTCTAAAAATCCTTTTTTAGATTTTATTACCTAACATCTGTCATCGTGAAGTGAGGTTATAGAGCAGAGGGTGGTCTAAGGGGTTTGGTGCTTGATTTCCTCCAATGACCCACTTTTAGGCAGGCCAGAATAAGGTATCACTTACACTCCTAAGTCTCAGTTTTTGCATATGTCTTTGCTCATACACCTCTACCCTTCTATTCCCCCAACAACAACAACCAAGTCACTAACTTCACTATCTTGGCCAAAGGTCTTATGACAGAGTATGTCTTGAAGGATGGCTTGATAGCAGAATTCACATTTTCCTGAGGGCTTTCCTCTGATTAGAGTACAAGGGTGGCATCTCTCTGAGGCATAGTCTTATCTAATAAGCCTGTTCACTAGTATTTTCTGTGTACTCTGTGTGTGTTCAGCCCCAAACTATCAAAGTGCAGAGAATTTGAAGACCTTTTCCTTGTTGGGGAACTTAACAATGCAAGTGGAGAGACAAAATGCATAAAATAGCTTTTGAACATATGTAAATGGCTTCTCATAAGCCAGCTGACTCTAATTTTACTGTTTCCTTAGGAAAATCATCAGTTTCCTTCACCTAAAAAATGAAGGAATTGGACTTGATGAGATCTGCCAAGTTTCTTCTTTAATATTGCTTGGTTCTATGGAACTAGGCTCTGTTAGATTTAACTTGATAAGAATTTTATATACTGTTTACAAAAGTGACCAAGTCACATTGGTTCATACAATTAGAGTTTTTATTGTCCTATGTCTCATTATATGATCTGTTTGACTAAACTGTAGAAGGAATGAAGGTTTAAGAAAGTAGTGGGAGGCACTTCATACATGTCTGCCTTAGCTTGAATCATCTTAGAAGCTTGGTAAATGGTTTCAAATGGAACGTGTGGGCTATGTGGACTCAATTAGAACAATGGAAAACTTTAATAGAGGAGGGAATATCATGGTTAATGTGTTCCTTGGCTTTTTCATCCCTTGAGTTTTCACTTCTAAGCCATTGTGAAGGTAAAGGAGCTAATTGTTTGTTCTTTTCTCTTATTCATCTTTTCCCTGTTCCTCTTCTTCTCCCCATCTTCTCCATCTCCTCTCTTTCTCCCTTAAAGTGTTGTATTAGCTGGTAACAAATATGCTTACAGTCAATACAAGATATTCTGTGATAAAGACAAAAATATCCTTGTACATTTGTCCAGAGATTAGCAAGTTTGAGGAAAAAGTCCCGTTTAATTAGGTAAACATTTCCTTTGTCTCTAACATCCACTAATAAGTTGGGTTTTTTTTCTATTTTCATATTACATACAATTGTATTTCTTGATATTCCTAAAAAATAATTTTCAAAAAAGCCTTTTGTTTAATATACACACTAAGTTCAAAATTAAACAGTTTTTATTTTGAATGTAGGTTATTTGTGGGAAATATTTTTTGGTGATAAAAAGATGCTGCTATGCTGTAGCTTTTTTTTTTAACTTTTAATTTAATTTCTTTTTAGTTTTCAACATTCACTTCCATAAGCTTTTTTTTTTCTTTTTGGTGAGGCAGTTGGACTTAAGTGACTTGCCCAGAGTCACACAACTAGTGAGTGTTATGTGCATGGGTTGGATTTGAACTCAGGTCCTCCTGACTCCAGGGCCAGGGCTCTATCCACTGTGCCACCTAGGTGCCCCTTCCATGCACTTTTGAGTTTTAAATTTCTTTGCCTCTGTCCTGTCCTCTTTCCCCAAGATGGCATGCAATCTGATATAGACTGTACATATTCATTCTTACTAAATATGTTTTCACATTAGTCGTGTTGGAAAGAAGAATGAGAAAGAATGGGAGGAGCCATGAGAAAGAAGAAAAAAAACAAAGAGAGAGCAAGTAGTATACTTCTATCTGCATTCAGACTCTAGTTCTTTCTCTGGATGTGGATAACATTTTCCATCATGATTCTTTTGGAGTTGTCTTAGATCCTTGTATTGCTGAGAAGAGCTAAGTCTATCAATATTACTCATCGTACAACATTTTCCTGGTTCTGCTCATTTCACTCAGCATCAGACCATGCAAGTCTTTCCAGATTTTTCTGAAGTCTGCCTGGTCATCATTTCTTATAGCACAATAGTATTCTATTACATTGTTATACCACAACTTATTCAGCCATTCCCCAACTGATGGGCTCCCCCACAATTTCCAGTTCTTTGCCCCCACATAAAGAGCTGCTATAAATATTTTTGTATTTGTGGGTCATTTTTCCATTTTTATAATCTCTTTGGGATACAGCCCTAGAAGCAGTATTACTGAGTCAAAGGGTATGCACATTTTTATAGACCTTTGGTATGCTATAGCTTTTTTAAAAAGTTATGATGATTTGCATTAGTGTTAAAAATGAAAGCATTATTATTAAAAAAAATTCTAATAAATGACTGAAAGTTCGTTATTGCTGTTTGCTTTCTTATCAGGATATTTTCGTTTAGTTTGGGACTTGTTAAAAATGTATAAATGAAGCTATATGGAATTCATTGGCTGAATTCACAATTCCAGTTCTTCTTGTATTATATCTTTTTGCTTCTTGATTATAATTGTAACTTGTTTCCTCTCTTTTATGATTGATTAAGCTTCAAGTGGGAATAAAGAAATAATTTCTCATATCAGCCAGCATGGGGGCAAATGGCCTTACTGGTTCAAGAAAATGGGTGAGTTATTTTTCAAACGTTAAGAAACTTAATATTTTGGTGACTGGTTAGTAATAATCTTTTTTTTTTAAACTTACATCCAGAAAATATTCAAAAATTGGGCAATTACACATTAAAATTGCAAGTTGTATTGAATGAAAGTAATGCAGACACGTATGCTGGCCGGCCATTGCCATCAAAAACATTTAAATTTTCTGTCAAAGGTAAGTAAAGCCTTGAATTTCCTTTGAATTCTTGTAGCTCACTGAAATACCATCTTAAAATAAAATGGAAGAAAGACTTACCTTCTAAGGTATGGAGAGACTCATGTAAGTTTACACTTAGAAGATAGCTGACACTGAGTACATCATGTTTTGTCCATTTGGGACTAATTCTATAATTTTCCATTCAGATAGGTCTCAGTCACTTTCTTAATCTTCGGGAGACAGTTGAGTTCTAGAGTCACTGTAGTACTAGAATCAAAAAGAATTCCTGCTTAAGATTGGAATGTTATTGACTACAGAAGCATTTATAAGTGTTCTTAGAAAATGGTGCAAAACTGAAATGCAAATGTTGATTCACTGAACCTATGGTAAATAGGGGGTTAATGTCCTGCAACCACCAAAAACTGTAAATTTTCACTAGAGATGGCTGAAATTACACTCTTCTGCATAGTTTTTTATAACAAAACATTATTTTTGATAATATGCATTTTCATAACTCAGTAACTGTTAATAACCCATAAAATGCAGTACACAAAATAAAATTGGTAATATGCAAAACATTTTTCTTGCCAGTCATTACCTAGAATTCTGTGACTTTTTGTGTTAACATCTGTTTTTAAAAAATGACTTCAGACAATATTCATTTTCATAATACATGAAATCTACAGTGTCATAAATACTATACAGCAAATAAAATTCTTAAAATAACTATTTTAAAACCTATTATTAATCTTACATTCCACTGTGTCATATGGCAGTGGAGAGTGTTGCACTATATAGTGTACTGCTGTAAACTTTGCTATCTTGGACTCCGTCTGAAAACCAAGGGAGAGGTTGCTGGGACTTTAGTTGCTGCTTACCAGAAGACGCCAGGACTGGAAAGTCTTGATATGCCCCGGGGACTTGTACTATGTTTTGGGGCATAATTGCAACACAAAACTTGAGTGTTAAAGGCAAACGATGATATGCAATGAGTGTGTAGGAAGCTCTTTTACAATGGTAAGGTGAACAAGACTAGTGAAGGGCCTAGTAGAATACCAGCCACTCTACATGTTTATGGGCATCACACCTCATTTTTTCTCTGCTGCACATAATCATTAATATGTGTGGTTGTCAACATAGAAGTGGAAATGAAGTTGCTTTTAAAATCTGGAGAATGCTTGAGGACTGACTTTATTTAATGTAATCTGGGAGTAATTAGTGGGTGTTCTCACCAAGTTAAATAAAAGCAAAAATAAGAACCTCTTTCTTTGGAAATTTGAATATAATTTTATTCCTTAACATTGGCCATGATTCTTTCAGGTATCTGATTAGCATGATATAGCTTAGCTACATTGCTCAACATTGCAGATTTTATTCTCAGCTACATTTGTAGAAAACCAGTGTCTTAAGTTCCTTATGGATTAACAAAACCCTACCAAATTGTTCTTAAGACTAATGACAGTTTATAAATGACTTTGCACATCAGTTGTTTTGTCACAATTATTTTACTACTTATATATTATAATGAAAATATTCATTAAAGTAATTTTCAACTCATTTGTTCTTCTGTGAAAGAGGGTAAACCAGAGAAATTTTCAGTGGGCCTTCTGGATCCTCCATTTCGTGTTGGAGTCCCATTCAGTATTCCCCTGGAGTTGCAGGATGAATTTGGTCATACTACTCAACTGGTAACTGATATTAAGCCAGTTCTTGAAGCAAGGTAATTTGAGAAAACAGATTTTAATTTTCTTTCTTCATTATATTTATTCTGTACTTAACTTTGTTCTTACACTGTTTCAAATAATAATACAAAAGTTTTAAGTTTTAGCATCTCTTACCTATTCACTTTTATTTAGGTAGAGAACATTTTGTCTTCTGGTTCCCCAGTGCCTTACTTAAACTACCATCATTCCTCTGTTATGTAGATATTTTAAAGTCCTGTAGATAAGTCTAGCTAGGGGTGGTGCCAAATGGGGGTGTCTCCTCCCTTTCCCATACCAGGCTACTCAGACCCCACTACCAACCTTCTTTCCAATACTTCCCTTTTTCTTTTCTGTTCTGATTGGACAGTGACTTCCTTGCTCCCACCTTTGCTGAAGGGAACCCAGAATTCCCACTACATTTATACATTTTGGTGCACTTCCTGTGGCAGTGGGCCCATACCTTCCAGGCTCCCTGTCTTGTTGAATAGACACCTAGATGATTTATCTATTGCCTTGTATTATTTGTAGTTTTAAAATGTTTATGTTTTCCCACCTGCATTGTAAAATCATGCTTATAGGCAAAGATTCTATATTATAACTTTATGTTTTTTACAGTGCTTTTTTGCAGAGTATGGGCATATAAGGCACAGTATAAATTTGTTGACTTTTAAAACTAATCATGGCAAATCAAAATTTACAGAATGAAAGGCAGATATACTCTGTTCAATGCAATTAATTGACCAGTTGTAGAAATGGTTAATTCTGGTACTGGCTAGTGACGTTGTTCAGGAGTAATTGGTTGTATGATCCATATGCATACATAAAACAGATCTCTTAGACTTTTATTGTAGGTATTTTAGAAGAATAAATATAACTTTCTTTTTTTTTCTTTAAACAGTGGCTTATCTTTACAATATGAAGACATAAGCAAAGGACCAAATTGTGTAATTAGGGGTGTTACTGCTAAAGGCCATGTCAGCTCTTATCAAGGCAAGGTAAGCCATGTATCTTAATGTTATGTGTTTAGTAAAATTTATTGATGAAGCAATATCACGTGAGGGTAAAATATTCTTATTTCTCTCATTTATTTTTTAACATTTCTTAGATTAGCTATAATGTTTGATATTGAAAAGATGTTAGTTTCATATGTCATCAATTTCTTAGCACTTAGGAAATGATGGCCAGTGAGTCCAGGTTGTTTGCTGTGGAAATGTTGTTGTGTGTGGGTTCTTTTGGGGGGGGGCAATTGGGGTTAAGTGACTTGTCCAGCGTCACACAGCTAGTAAGTGTCAAGTGTTTGTTGTGAGGCCAGATTTGAACTCAGGTCCTCCTGACTTCAGGGCCGGTGCTCTATCCACTGTGCCACCTAGCTGTCCCAAAATATGTTATTTTTCAGAATAAGTATTGTTACAGTAGAAAAAAAGAGAAGAAATTAATTGATGAATTGAAAATTCCCTTCATTGTTTTTCACATAGTGATTTTAGCTGCTTTTCCTAAACCTTATTTCTCTTAGCATTGACTATAGCCTTTACCAAGCTTATTTACAACTTCTTCCGTAATTATCATCAAAAACAAGTCTTTCAGCTCTTAAATTGAATTCTTTTGTTTTCATTCTTCTGAATAAACTATTAGGATGGGATGAGCTTGAGTTTTTCTCCTTGGACCAATTACATATTTGATCATGTAAGTTTATCTAACTTTTAAAAAGCCCTAGATCTAGAAAAGGCAACAGACTGCATCTTGGTGGGAAAATCCAGAAAAAAAAAATGATGGTGTGTTATTTTTCCAGTCCAACATAGAAAGTCAGATAGAGATATCTGCAGGTAACTAAGGACTAAGGTCATTGTGGGACAATGCCCCATCCATGCAGAGCACTCCCTAGAGAGAGGCTGTGCACCAAGAGGATGTCCAAAATTTTGAGTGGGGCACTCCCAGGCCCATACCAGTGTACTCTGACAGGGAAAGGTTCCAACTGGTAGCTTTATCACCCACTATATACTTCCAGGTCATAGATCTAGGGTAGAGTGAAAGTCTGTTAGTCATAGCCTTGAAAGTTCAGAAGCCAGCACCGTGGTGTAGCTCAAACTCCATGGGTAGAAAAGCGTCTCAGTTCTAGAATTTAGCCCTCTTTCAGAGGAATAACCAGAGTAGGAATCACAGAACAAAGGAAAGTCCATAATTCCTGCTTGTCTGATCAACACAGCTTTTTAGCTGACTGGTAGGGGCTGAATCAGACACAAACTTAGATCAGGAACGTGCAGAGTTCAGACCAGGGGGCAGCAATCAGACTTTGCCCTCATTCAGACCATTTTGGGAACACTGAAAGCTTGTATATTCCCCTGTCCCTGAGATCTTGGAATAACACCATATTCCACACCCTAAGAAAGTAGCAACAGGACCAGTGCAGACCTTCCCTCCAGAATTGCACAGGGTTTGGCCCTAACATCAAGTTTAGGTCAGGAAATAGATGTAAGAGTGGGGGGTGGGGTGGGGAGAAGAATGAGTAGAGGCAGCTATATGGCACAGTGAATAGAGAACCGGCCCAGGAGTCAGGAGGACCTGAGGTTCAAATCTGACCTTAGACACTTGGCACTCGCTGTGGACCCTAGGCAAGTCACTTAAGCCCAATTGTCTCATGCCCCTCCAAAAAAAAATGAGTAATAATATCACCATAGAAAGGTGTTATACTGGTAGTGATGTTCAAGACACAAACCCAGAAGAAAAGAATGACTCCAAAAGCTTTTTAAGCAGTGTCTCGGAGAAAAACATCATGGGCCCAAATTCAACTAGAATTCCTGGAAGAATTAAAAAAAAGAATCAAAAATGTTTTTATTAGTGAAATGAGAGTGCTTGAGGGAAAAATTGGAAAAGAAATGAGAGCCATAGAAGAAAAAATTGGAAAGGGAATTAACATGTTGGTAACCTTGCCCAAGCAACAAACTCCCTGAAAATTTGAATGGACCAAACAGAAGCAAATGACTTCATGAAGCAACAAGAAATATTAAAGCCAAGTAGAAAGGCAGAAAAAAACTAGGAGAAAATGTAAGGTCTCTTGTAGCAAAAATCAAAAATAACTGACTCAGAAAACAGAAACAGATGAAGGAGAAAAAAAGATGAAGAATCATTGGAATTTCTGAATGCCATGACCAAAAAAGTGGCCTCAGCGTCATATTTCAAGAAACTTTAAAACTGTCTAAATCTCCTAGAACCAGAGGGCAAAATGGAAATAGAATCCACCAGTTGCTCCTGTGAAAGAAATCCCAAAATGAAAATTCGCAGGAACATCACAGCCAAAATCCAAGTTTTCCAAGTCAAAGAAAAATTAACTGCAGGCAGCCAGAATTTAGGTACCAAGGAACCATAGGCAGAATCCCACATAATTTAGCAGCCACCAATATAAAAGGACAAAGAACTTGGAATGTGGAACTCCGGAAGACACAGTATATGGTCTTAGAGCCAAGACAGGAGAGAAAAATATATCTTTAATGAAATAGAAGACTTTCAGCATTTCTGATGGAAAGGTTAGTCAGGGGTAGCTAGGTGGTGCAGTGAATAGAGCACCAGCCTTTAAGTCAGGAGAACCTGAATTCAAATCCCACCTTAGACACCTAACGCTTATTAGCTGTATGACTGGGCAAGTCATTTAACCTCAATTGCCTTGCACCCCCCCCCAAAAAAAAAGAAAGAAAGAAAAGACTAGTCAATAAACATTAATTGCCTGCTGTGTGCCAGGCACTGTGCTAAGTCCTGGGAGTACAAAAGGAGACAAAAAACATTCCTGCCCTGAAGGAGCTTACGATCTAAGACAGCAAGCAAATATGTACAAATAAGCTATATACAAAATATGTAGGAAATAATGAAGAGAGGGTTGCACTAGGGTTGGGAAAGTTCTTGTAGAAGATTGGGTTTTAGGCAGGACTTGAAGGATGTTCAGACATAGGAGTGAAGAGCAACATAAAAAGGTAAATATGAATGAAAAAATGATAAAGGACTTAACGAGGGTGAACTGGTTACATTCAAATAAGGGGAAATGATAAATGTGTCCCCTCTGAACCCTGTCATCATCCGAGTTATTAGAAAAGTCCTGGGAGTGGCTATCATATCTTGATGATTTTAAGAAAAGAATGGAAAGAGAGAGAAAGAGGAATACCCTGGAAGAAAGGTGGGGAAGGGAAAAGAAGGTTAGGGGAAATTATCTTGTATAATGTGCACAAGTTATCTGTACATAGAAGGAAAGGGGTAGGGGAATAGCTTACACTTGAGTGTCACTCTTATCTGAACTGGTCAAAGGAAGGAAGAATTCATTCTCCTCATTCTCCCCCCCACCTCCACACTATATATATATATATATATATATTTCACTTTCCTGGAAAATAGGAAGGAAAAGTGGGAAAGGAAGGAGAGGAAGTTATAAAGAGAGGGTAGGGATTAATCCTAAGCAAAACAAACTTTAACAATGCACAAAAATATTGGTAGGTTTTTTTTTTGGGTTGGTAAAGAATGGGAAACTGAGGAGGTACCCATAAATTGGGGAATGGATGAACAAGTTGTAGCACATAAATATGATGGAGGTTCATCATGTAGAACTCTTATTAGTGACTGAACAGAATTCCAGAGCTAATGTGAAAATGTGCTGCCCGACTCTTGATAAGAGTTGAAGGACTCAGAATGCAGAATGAGGCTGGTTTTTTTGACATGGACAATGCAGAAATTGGTTTTATACAGGTTTATAATTTTTGTGTGTGTGTGTGTGTGTGTGTGTGTGTGTGTGTGTGTTTTCAGTTGGGGTGGGAAGGTGAGAAGACAGATGATTAAAACAAAGTACTTTAAAAAATAAGTTTTAATCATGTTCAAAATTTTTAAAAATCATCTATCAGTACATATAGTATTGGACAAGAAAAAAAGAGAAGAGAGAAGATAAGAGAAAAAATTAGCTAAGGAAATGCTAGTTTTAGGTGACTTTTAAAGTAGGTTTTTTTAATTTAAAGATTAACAGCTCTGAAAATAAAACCTTCCATAAACCGAATAATTTGTACCTTCTACTGCAGATTTTGTTCCTTGTATTTTGCTTCTTTACACCTTAGTTGCTTTCCTTGTAAAATAAGGGAGTTGTATTAGATGATCTTTAAAGTCCTTTCTAACTCTAACATTCTGTAATTCTTTCACTTACCTTGGTATGTACTGTATAAAAATTTTTCACCATTATGGGATGTCCCTTTCTTTCTAGCATATATATGAATGTAAGTAAATTGAGAGCTTAAAAATTTCCAGGAAAAAAATTGTACTTTTTTGTAATGTTTAAGGGCACTGGGAAAAATTCTGGCTGCTACACATACCATGTAAACCTGGGCAAAAACACTTCGTCTCTCAATGACCCACGCAGCTCTAAGCTATTGAGGTGGGGCTACTACATTGGTTGAAGAGTTTTCTCACTGGACATTTCCTCTCCCAGTGAAACCAAAGGTCCAGTCTCTTTTCCCAGTGGGAATTTTACTTATCCCAAGCAAAGGCACTAATACTATTTATTCTGTTATTAGAGTTATGTATTATTAATCTACCTGCTCTATAAGTTTTCCAGACTTTTTCTTCCTCAGTGATTAGAAAAACATGTAAATTGGTAACAAGTTGCAAGCAAAGGTGACAATATTTTAATCTGTTCCACTTAACTTGTTTTTTTACTTACCTCACCTGATACATATTCAGTGCTAATTTTGATTCTTAAATAATTTGAATCAGCTTTAATTCTGCATGTTTTACATGGATGTATACCAATTTTAGTAAATACCAAATTACTGTTAGTTTTCTGTTAAAACATCATTGAAACAAAATAATTCAGATTGCTTTTGTAGACAGTATATTATTCAAATCCTTGTGAATTCAATGTTTAATTTATTAAATGTTCTTTTTCAACAGAACTTTAGTCTGAAGGTTATTCTACCAGGTTTGAAAGAAGAATCTCAGATTTTGAAAATTAGATTACTTCCTGGTAAATACTACTTTTAATAAACATTTGTAATAGTATTGTTATAAATGTTTAAATGTGCATTTGACTTTTTAATAGCATTCTTTTTTTCTGGGAAAGTCAAACAATAATCTTGAAAAATGTTTTCTTCCCTTTCCCAATCAATTTCTGGAGATGAATATAATGTGAAAGAATATATTTTTGGTAGAAATGAACTGTGAATAAGGGTGTTTGGAGGTATATTTCTGTTTAATGAACTTTGAAGAGGAAAGGTAACTGTGGCTAGCTTTGGAAATTTTCAGCCTGATGCTGGGTTCTTTATCAGGAATAGGTTAGAGTGTGTGACCTCTGAGATCCCTTCAGACTCTTAGATTCTTTGGTGGGGAAATAGCTTAGTTCAAGTATAAATTTTTAGGCCCAAATCCATTTATTAATTGTTGTCTAATTTCTCTTTTAAAGCTATTGTAATGTAAACATTTCATATTTAAGCCATATATAGTCATGGTCTTATATGAGATCTTTCTTTTTTTACAGTGGAAACAGCCTTGACTGTCAAGTCATAGGCCCTATTTCTCAGACCCTACTGCCTTTGTGATCTTGGAAAGGTTACTTGGAAACCTCCTTGTCCCATATCTGGTATTATCATCTCAAAAATGACAGAGTTGGATTAGATGGTTTCTGAGGTCCCTTAAATCTGTGATACTGTCTCAAGAAAAAAGGCAGTCTTTGCTAATATATTATGGAGTCTTTCATATTTACTATCTAACATCAAATTAGTCATGAAGAAATTAGGAAGTATGTTAAACTAAAATTGTACAAAAAGTGTTGATCAAATTTTGCAAGGGTTTGGCTTCACACCATTCTTGTTTTGGTCTATATACTAAATGGATTTGGGCCTAAAAATTTATACTTGAACTAAGCTGTTTCCCCACCAAAGAATGTAAGAGTCTGTATACTAAAAATAATCATCATTTGGCATACATTAATTCAGAAATACTTAATCACTTTCAAGTTTCAGGTTATTGCAAGAAGAATTTAATTGTGGGATATTTCTAGAAAAGTATAATTAGAGGCATATTTGGGAAAGAGCTAATTATATATTGCTATATTTACATATAAAATACTAAACTTTTGTGAATTTCATTGCTGGCTAAGTAGAATAGTGACAATTAGGGAATTACTTAAATTTTTCCTTTTGGAGACTTTTTTTTAGATTTTTAGAGGAAAAACTTCTAAAGTAAAAATAACTGATTTCCAGTGGCACTTTTTTTTACCTTTTTTTTTTTCTTGTAATGTCAGTTTTTCCATTTAGTGCTGTGGTTGCTTGGTATTCCTTGGCAGTTTTAGTATTATTTTGAGAGTTTGAATGATTTCTGGAATTAATTAATATATTATTTATTGAAACATAGCTTAACATAGTGGATAAAATGCCAGTTTTACAGCCAGTAAGATCTAGATTAAAATTCTACTTCTGACATGTCTTGGCTCTGTGACTCTGGAAAAGGCACTTAACTTCATAGTATTCTAGGTAACTCTCAAAGATTACAATTTGCAGAGAATGTACGCCTTGTATTAGCATAGTTATAACAAATTTCTGTTTCTATACCAAATGTGTAACTTGTCTAGTCCCCATCCCCTGTCATTTTTTTTTTCTTAAGGCAATTGCAGTTAAGTGACTTGCCCAGGGTCACACAGCTAGTAAGTGTCAAGTGTTTGGTCTGAGGCCGGATTTGAACTCGGGTCCTCCTGACTTCAGGGCTGGTGCTATATCCACTGCACCATCTAGCTGCCCCTCCCCTATCATTTCTTAAGAAAACTATAGAGGAAAAATAAAATTAAAAGAAGTACAAATTTCAGCCTATAAATAATATATATTAATGCATGGGATATACATACATACATACACACACACACACACACACACACACACACACACACAGTATATAGCATTTGTCATTTGGATACAAATGATCAAATATGACTTTTTTCCTTGACATCCTTGAAATTTTTTTTATCTTATGACTATAAGTACTTTTAATACATGAAATAATAGTTCCATATTTCGAGTTTTAACTTGATTGTGTTCTGGGGTTTTCTTACAGGCCCTCCTCATCAATTGAAAGTGAAACCAGATTCTGATTTTCTTGTCATTGAAAATGGAACAGCGTTCCCATTCCAGGTAGAAGTTTTAGATGAATCAGGAAATATCACAGCGCAGCCCAAATTGATTGTTCATTGTAAGGTAAGTTGTACGTTAAGCATGGGTTTTTATCTTTATTTTATAAAGTTTCACATGGTGACACAGTTCTTGCTGTATGTCTGCATCTTAAGTTATTTCATAGACTCTGTATGGAAAGAAGACTAGATTTTGATTGAAAATACAAATATGGTCATACCGTTAACATGTCTTTAGAGATAGTGCTCAAAAATTCGATAATAAGTCCATTCAAATTCTTACAGTTCTACATAGTTGTTTCAAGGAAATGAATGTTTGTGGAAAATAATATTTTTGTGTTTCTGATAATTGCATGGCAATTTCTTCACTATAAAGATTATGGGTAGGAAAGAAGAGATATTGACATAGGAGAATGGAAAGAGAAGTGTAAAATTAGTGAAGGTATGATTTCTATTTTGAAAAATTTTTTTGAGCTTGTTAAATTTCTTTCACTTACAAATGAGTTCAAACTTATTTTAGATTTAAGTTTTCCAATTTTGTAAATAAATATACATATTTTTACAGATAATGTATATTGGGTTTTTTGTTTGAAGAGATTTTACTAGAATTTTGTGAATAGTGATTTAATTACATTTTGAATTCTTAAATTAGTTTGTATATCCCATATAGTTTTTAGGTGCTCCAAACCTTCCTGTCTACAGTGTGGATTGTAGTAATGCTGGAACTAGTATTTTAACTGGACCTGCATTTCATGTGCAGAATATAAAGAAAGACCACATACTCAAAGCAAGGATTGAAATACCAGTAAGTTGTTATTATTGTTATTAACAGGTTTTCATATTTCTGTAGTATTTTATACATGTAAGCATCTATTAATCTTATAAATTTTTATCATCTATCTATTTGTATGTGTGTCTGTAGAAAGGAGGTGTTACACTAAAACAAGAAAAGCTACTATAATTTGAGTTATTTTGAGAAAATATAAGTATGATTTTCCCATATATATCCATTTCCCCTCCTTTGCTTTCCTGTTTTCAGTTGTGATCAGTAAGCAGGAGTCTACAGAATTTCACTATCTCTCAGTGTTGATCATTTAAGCCCTAGTGTAACCATTTAGATTCAATGTTAGTATTATATATGAATGTTGATAAATTTACAATCAAATTTTTTAAAGCTTTTTTTGTATTTTATTTTTTAAATTACATGTAAAAACAATTTTAAACATTCGTTTTAAAAATTTTTGAGTTCTCTCCCTCTTCTTCCCCCTGCTTGAGAAGGCAATTTATGCATGTGCCTACTTGATCATACATGTGCAGTCATGTAAAACATTTCCATATTAGCAATATTGCAAAAGAAAACACAGATTAAAGAAATCCCAAGAAAAATAAAGTTAAAAAAAAAAGGTGTGCTTTAATTTGTATTTAGATGCCATTAGTTTTTTCTCAGGAGGTAGATAGCATTTTTTAATCATAAGCCCTTTGAGATTGTCTTAGATCATTATATAGGTGAGAATAGCTAAGTCATTCACAGCTGATCATCATACAGTATTACTGTTACTCTCTACAGTGTTCTTCTGGTTTTGCTCACTTCACTTAGCATCAGTTCATATAAGTTTTTCCAGATTTTTCTGAGATTCTCCTGTTTGTCTTTTTTTTTCTTATTTAATTTAATATTTTATTTTTTTCCCTCAATTACACATAGACAATTTTGACATTCTCTTTTCAAATTTTGAGTTTCAAATTCTCTCCCTTCCTTCCCCCCTCATTGAGAAGGCAAACAATTTGACATATAGATCACATTTTTTACACACACACACACACACACACACATACACACACACACATGTATCAGCATGTATTTTTAAAAGTCAGAAAAGAACTTGGGAGCAGGGAAAAATGGGGCTAGTTTGAGGCACACAGTGGCTCCCTTTGCCCCATCATCATTTCTTTTTTTAAAAAATTAATTTATTTTTAATTTTTAACATTCACTTCCACAAGATTTTGAGTTCTAATTTTTCTCTCCATCTCTCCCCTCTCCCCACCCCAAGACAGTATGCACTCTGAATACTACTTTTCCCAATCTGTTCTCCCTTCTATCACCCCTCCCCTCTCCTAATCTCCTTCCCCTTCTCTTTTCCTGTAGAGCAGGATAGATTTCTATACCCCATTGTTTGTATATTTTATTTCCCAGTTAACATGTAAAAACAATTTTTGACATTCAGTTTTAAAATTTTGAGTTCCAAGCAATTTGATGTCAGTTATTCATGTGTAGTTATGCAAAATACTTCCACAGTAGTCATGTTGTAGAAAACTATTTCCCTTTATGCTATCCTACCCCCTGTTTATTCTCTTTTGACCCTGTACCTTCTTAGAAGTGTTTGTTTCTGATTACCCCCTCCCCCAGTTTGCCCTCCCTTCTATTGTCCCCCCACTCTCTTATCCCCTTCCTCTCTTTTTTCCTATAGGGTAAGATAGAATTCCATACCCAATTGAGAGTGTATGGTATTCTTTCCTTAAGCCAAATCTAGTGAGAATAAGATTCACTCATTCCCTCTCACCTTCCCCCATTTCCCTTCCACTGTAAAACCTTTTCATGTGTGTTATATGTGAGATAATTTACCCTATTCTACCTCTCCCTTTCTCCTTCTCCCAGTATAATCCTCTCTCACCCCTTAATTTTATTCTCCACATACCACCCTTTCATCTTCAACTCACCCTGTGACATCTCATCTCATCTCATCTCATCTCATCTCATCTCAATCTTTCTATCTAATTTCCCCCCCCCCCTCCAACTATCCTAATACTGACAAAGATCTCATGAGTTACAAATGTCATCTTTCCATGTAGGAATGTAAACAGTTCAACCTTAATAAGTCCCTTATGATTTCTCTTTCCTATTTACCTCTTCATGCTTATGTTGAGTCTTGTATGTGAAAGTCAAATTTTCTATTCAGCTCTGGTCTTTTCATTAAGAATGCTTGAAAGTCCTCTGTTTCACTGAATGACTATTTTTACCCCTGAAGGATTATACTCAGTTTTGCTGGGTAGGTGATTCTTGTCTGTAATCCTATCTCCTTTAACCTCTGCAGTATTATATTTCAAGCCCTCCAGTCCCATAAGGTAGAAGCTGCTAGATCTTGTGTTATTCTGATTGTCTTCCGCAATACTTGAATTGTTTCTTTTTGGCTGTTTGCAGTATTTTCTCCTTAACCTGGGAACTCTGGAATTTGGCTGTAATATTCTTAGGAATTTTCCTTTTGGGATCTCTTTCAGGAGGTGATTGGTGGATTCTTTCAATTTCCATTTTACCTCTGGTTCTAGAATATCAGGGCAGTTTTCCTTGATAAATTTCTTGAAAGATGATTTCTAGGTTCTTTTTCTGATCTTGGCTTTCGGGTAGTCCAATAGTTTTTAAATGATCTCTTCTGGATATGTCTTCCAGGTCATTTGCTTTTCCAATGAGATTTTTAACATTGTCTTGTATTTTTTCATTCTTTTTTTCTTTTTGGTGAGGCAGTTGGGGTTAAGTGATTTGCCCAGGGTCACACAGCTAGTAATTGTCAAGTGTCTAAGGCCAGATTTGAACTCAGCTCCTCCTGACTCCAAGGCCAGAGCTCTATCCACTGTGCCACCTAACTGACCCCTATTTTTTCATTCTTTTGGTTTTGTTTTACAATTTCTTGATTTCTCGTAGAGCCATTAGCTTCCATGTGCTCCATTCTAATTTTTAAGGAATTATTTTCTTCAGTGAGCTTTTGGATACCCTTTTCCATTTGGCCCTCTTTTGCCATTCGAGTTAGTCTATTTTTTAAGGTGTTATTTTCTTCAATATTTTTGGGTCTCCTTTAGCAAGCTGTTGACTTGTTTTTCATGATTTTTTTGCATCACTCTCATTTCTCTTCCCAGTTTTTCCTCTGCTTCTCTTACTTGCTTTTCACAGTCCTTTTTGAGCTCTTCCCTGGCCTGAGACCGATTTACATTTTTCTTGGAGGCTTTGGATATAGGAGCTTTGACTTTGTTGTCTTCTTCTGGTTGTATGTTTTGATCTTCTTTGTCACCAAAGTAAAATTCTGTAGTCTGAGGTTTTTTCCTGCTGCCTGCTCATGCTTCTACCCAGCTACTTGACATTTTAACTCTTTGTTAAGATAAGCTTTGCTTCCAGTGTGGGGGGTGTACTGTCCCAAGCTTCAGGGCTTTTGTGCAGCTGTTTTCAGAGAAACTTTTAAGGACCTGTAAATTTTCAGTTCTCCCAATGTAGTGTGTTCTCCACCACCACCACAGGCTCTGCCATGGCAGCACTCCTCTTCACCCCAGGACTGCTACCCAAGGACTGGGACCCAGAACCTAGCACAGGCAAAGCAAGAGAATCCTGCCTCAGCACCATCAAAGAGATCCCTACAATTCCCCTTTGATCACCCGTGTGACACCCCTCTCCCCTTCTGTGGCCAAGAGCTCTGGAATCAGTTGCTGCTGAACCATGCTCCTCTGTCACCCAGGTCTGACAGACCTTTCCTACTAACCTTCTAAATTGTCTTTGGCATTTATGGGTTGAGAAGTCTGGAAACCACCACAGCTGTCAGTGATTCAGTTCCCTGAGCTGCACCAGGTTTGCTGGGGCCCTGTGTCTGCAGGTGGAGCCAATGCTGAACTGTACTCCTCTCCTAGCCCAGTGCAACAGACCTTTCCCATTAACTATCCAGTTTGTCTTGGGCTGGAAATATATTTCACTCTGTCTTTTTGTGGGTTCTGCTGCTCTAGAATTTTAGACTAATTTTTTGTTGGTATTTGGAGGGGTTTGGGGGAGAGCTCAAGCAAGTCACTGCTTTTACTTCGCTGTCTTGGCTCTGCCCCTGTCATTTTTTAAAAAAACAATTTATTTTGAATTATCAACAGTCACTTCCATAAACTTTTGAGTTTTAAATTTGTCGCCCCATGATGGCATGCAGTTTGATATAGGCTGTGTATATACATACATTAGTGATTTTGTAAGTAGGAATTAGAACCAATAGGAGGAACCACCAGAAAGAGGAAACAAAACACAAAAGAAGGAAAAAAATAGCAAACAGTATGCTTCGATCTGCATTCAAACTCCATAGTTCTTTCTTCTTTGTGGATAGCATTTTCCATCATGAGGCCTTTGAAGATGTCTTAGATCCTTGTATTGCTGGGAAGGATTAAGTTTATCAATAGTAGTCATTGTACAACGTGGCTGTTACTATGTACAACATTCTGGTTCTGCTCACTTCACTCAGCATCAGACCATACAAGTCTTTCCATGTTTTTCTGAAGTCTGTCTGTTCATCATCTTTTTTTTTTTAAATTTTAAAGATTTTTGGCAATTGGGGTTAAATGACTTACCCAGGGTCACACAGCTAGTAAGTGTCAAGTATTTGGTTTGGGGCCGGATTTGCACTTAGATCCTTCCTACCTCTATCCACTGCGCCACCTAGCTGCCCCCTGCTCATCATTTCTTATAGCACAGTAGTATTCCATTACATTCATATGCCACAACTTGTTCAGCCATTCTCTAATTGATGGGCATTCTCTCAATGTCCAATTCTTTCCCACCACAAAAAGAGCTGCTATAAATATTTTTGTACACGTGGGCCCTTTGCCCATTCCAATGATCTCTCTGGGATGTAGCCCTAGAAGTGCTATTTGCTGGGTCAAAGGGTATGCACATTTTTATAGCCCTTTGGGCATAGTTCCAAATTGCTCTCTAAAACGGTTGGATCATTTCACAACTCCACCAACAATGCATTAGTGTTCCAATTTTCCCATATCTTCAACATTTATCATTTTTCT